GAGTAGGTATGATGTCCCACTTGTGTTAATTTTACATTTGCTCACACACTAGTGGTTATCTAGTGTAGGTATGATGTCCCACTTGTGTTAATTTTACATTTGCCCACACACTAGTGGTTATCTAGTGTAGGTATGATGTCCCACTTGTGTTAATTTTACATTTGCCAACAAACTAGTGGTTATCTTGTGTAGGTATGATGTCCCACTTGTGTTAATTTTACATTTGCCAACACACTAGTGGTTATCTAGTGTAGTTATGATGTCCCACTTGTATCAGTTTTACATTTGCCCACACACTAGTGGTTATCTAGTGTAGTTATGATGTCCCACTTGTGTTAATTTTACATTTGCTCACACACTAGTGGTTATCTAGTGTAGGTATGATGTCCGACTTGTGTTAATTTTACATTTGCGCACACACTAGTGGTTGTCTAGTGTAGGTATAATGTCCCACTTGTGTCAATTTTACATTTGCCCACACACTAGTGGTTATCTAGTGTAGTTATGATGTCCCACTTGTGTCAATTTTACATTTGCCCACACACTAGTGGTTATCTAGTGTAGTTATGATGTCCCACTTGTGTCAATTTTACATTTGCGCACACACTAGTGGTTATCTAGTGCAGGTATGATGTCCCACTTGTGTTAATTTTACATTTGCCTACACTTTGGTGGGTATCTAGTGTAGGTATGATGTCCCACTTGTGTTAATTTTACATTTGCCCACACACTAGTGGTTATCTGGTGTAGGTATGATGTCCCACTTGTGTTAATTTTACATTTGCCTACACACTTGTGGTTATCTAGTGTAGGTATGATGTCCCACTTTTGTCAATTTTACATACGCCCACACACTAGCGGTTATCTAGTGTAGGTATGATGTCCCACTTGTGTTAATTTTACATTTGCCCACACACTAGTGGTTATCTAGTGTAGGTATGATGTCCCACTTGTGTTAATTTTACATTTACCCACACACTAGTGGTTATCTAGTGTAGTTATGATGTCCCACTTGTGTTAATTTTACATTTGCGCACACACTAGTGGTTATCTAGTGTAGGTATGATGTCCGACTTGTGTTAATTTTACATTTGCCCACACACTAGTGGTTATCTAGTGTAGGTATGATGTCCCACTTGTGTTAATTTTACATTTGCCCACACACTAGTGGTTATCTAGTGTAGGTATGATGTCCCAGTTGTGTTAATTTTACATACATCAACACTCTAGTGGTTATCTAGTATAGGTATGATGTCCCACTTGTGTCAATTGTACATACGCCCACACAGCAGTGGTTATCTAGTGTAGGTATGATGTCCCAGTTGTGTTAATTTTACATACATCAACACTCTAGTGGTTATCTTGTGTAGGTATGATGTCCCAGTTGTGTTAATTTTACATTTGCTCACACACTAGTGGTTATCTAGTGTAGGTATGATGTCCCACTTGTGTTAATTTTACATTTGCTCACACACTAGTGGTTATCTAGTGTAGGTATGATGTCCCACTTGTGTTAATTTTACATACGCCCACACACTAGTGGTTATCTAGTGTAGTTATGATGTCCCACTTGTGTTAATTTTACATTTGCCCACACACTAGTGGTTATCTAGTGTAGGTATGATGTCCCACTTGTGTTAATTTTACATTTGCCCACACACTAGTGGTTATCTAGTGTAGGTATGATGTCCCACTTGTGTTAATTTTACATTTGCGCACACACTAGTGGTTATCTAGTGTAGGTATGATGTCCCACTTGTGTTAATTTTACATTTGCCTACACACTAGTGGTTATCTAGTGGTTATCTACTTGTGTTAATTTTACATTTATGATGTCCACTTGTATCAGTTTTACATTTGCGCACACACTAGTGGTTATCTAGTGTAGTTATGATGTCCCACTTGTGTTAATTTTACATTTGCGCACACACTAGTGGTTATCTAGTGTAGTTATGATGTCCCACTTGTATCAGTTTTACATTTGCCCACACACTAGTGGTTATCTAGTGTAGGTATGATGTCTCACTTGTTTAAATTTTACATTTGCCCACACACTAGTGGTTATCTAGTGTAGGTATGATGTCCCACTTGTGTTAATTTTACATTTGCTCACACACTAGTGGTTATCTAGTGTAGGTATGATGTCCCACTTGTGTTAATTTTACATACGCCCACACTCTAGTGGTTATCTAGAGTAGGTGTGATGTCCCACTTGTGTTAATTTTACATACGCCCACACTCTAGTGGTTATCACACTCTAGTGGTTATCTTGTGTAGGTATGATGTCCCACTTGTGTTAATTTTACATTTGCCAACACACTAGTGGTTATCTAGTGTAGGTATGATGTCCCACTTGTGTTAATTTTACATTTGCCCACACACTAGTGGTTATCTAGTGTAGTTATGATGTCCCACTTGTGTTAATTTTACATTTGCGCACACACTAGTGGTTATCTAGTGTAGTTATGATGTCCAACTTGTGTTAATTTTACATTTGCGCACATACTAGTGGTTATCTAGTGCAGGTATGATGTCCAACTTGTGTTAATTTTACATTTGCGCACACACTAGTGGTTATCTAGTGTAGGTATGATGTCCCACTTGTGTTAATTTTACATTTGCCAACACACTAGTGGTTATCTAGTGTAGTTATTATGTCCCACTTGTGTTAATTTTACATTTGCCAACAAACTAGTGGTTATCTTGTGTAGGTAGGATGTCCCACTTGTGTTAATTTTACATTTGCCAACACACTAGTGGTTATCTAGTGTAGTTATGATGTCCCACTTGTGTTAATTTTACATTTGCCCACACACTAGTGGTTATCTAGTGTAGTTATAATGTCCCACTTGTATCAGTTTTACATTTGCCCACACACTAGTGGTTGTCTAGTGTAGTTATGATGTCTCACTTGTTTAAATTTTACATTTGCCCACACACTAGTGGTTATCTAGTGTAGTTATTTTGTCCCACTTGTGTTAATTTTACATTTGGCAACACACTAGTGGTTATCTAGTGTAGTTATGATGTCCAACTTGTATCAGTTTTACATTTGCCCACACACTAGTGGTTATCTAGTGTAGGTATGATGTCCCACTTGTGTTAATTTTACATACGCCCACACTCTAGTGGTTATCTAGTGTAGTTTTGACGTCCCTCTTATGTTAATTTTACATACGCCTACACACTAGCTGTGATCTTGTGTAGGTATGATGTCCGACTTGTGTTAATTTTACATACGCCCACACTCTAGTGGTTATCTAGTGTAGGTATGATGTCCCACTTGTGTTAATTTTACATACGCCCACACACTAGTGGTTATCTAGTGTAGGTATGATGTCCCACTTGTGTTAATTTTACATTTGCCCACACACTAGTGGTTATCTAGTGTAGGTATGATGTCCCACTTTTGTCAATTTTACATACGCCCACACACTAGCGGATCTCTAGTGTAGTTATGATATCTCACTTGTTTAAATTTTACATTTGCCCACACACTAGTGGTTATCTAGTGTAGGTATGATGTCCCACTTGTGTTAATTTTACATTTGCACACACACAAGTGGTTATCTAGTGTCGGTATGATGTCCCACTTGTGTTAATTCTACATTTGCTCACACACTAGTGGTTATCTAGTGTAGGTATAATGTCCGACTTGTGTTAATTTTACATACGCCCACACTCTAGTGGTTATCTATGTAGCCATTGTGTTATGATGTCCCACAGTGTTAATTTTACATGTCACACACACTAGTGGTTATCTGTGTTAATTGTTACATTTTACATTTGCCCACACACTAGTGGTTATCTAGTGTAGGTATGATGTCCCACTTGAAAAATTTTACATGATAGACGCCCACACACTAGTGGTTATCTAGTGTAGGTAATGATGTGCCACACCACTTGTGTTAATTTTCCGGCGACGAACACACTAGTGGTTATCTAGTGTAGGTATGATGTCCCACTTGTGTTAATTTTACAAAACACCACAAATAATGGTAAATAACGTAACCAAATTCAACTTGGTTGCCAATTAGCCAGAATCAAGTCATTCCTCATAAAAAACAACAAAACGGAACTGTTGGAAATTTTGAATTAATTTATTTTCCTGGGTATTATTGTCATGGTTTAAATAGAAAGTTCTACACATGATTTAGGGAACAATGTCACGAAATTCCTCAATAATAAATGGAGATATTAATTTGTGAATCGAGGAATGCTTACAAAATCAACGAAGATAAATGGGTTGACAGCATTCCGATCTTGGTGTATGATTTGATCTGGCTTCGCGTATGCTTAAATCTAATGCAAATCGGTTAATTTGGAATGTCTCGCCAATGGAGATGACGTAACAATGAGCTAGTATATCGTTTGTTGCTTTTTCGCTGTGTCTACGACAGATTACGAAGGCGAAAGTATTGAAATACACAGGGATCTCCACATTATTTACCTTCTAGGAGGTACTACATATCTACAAATCTGCAGGAACAGGCAGTAATGATATCCATATAATCTTTTGGTGTTATCCAATCATTGTAGGCTATCATTGCATTAAGGTTACCATTTATGCGCACAGAAATATGCCATATGTAAGAAATTGTAATGCTTAACGTCTTCTTTGAATATTTATAAAAAAGACTCATCGATTCCCATAGTTATGATTTACTATTACCAAACAAGTATCGTTTATCAAGTAGAAGTTGCTTAAAAAAGAGAGAAAAAATGGACACACGTCGTCTCAGCCATTTGAATGTTATTTGTTTCGAAATAAACGAGGAAGAAACACGTTTAACGAGATTTCATGTACACATTAGTTTCAGTGACTGGTGCTCTGATAACTTCAAACCACAAGAAAAGAGTATCCTTATTGAGTTACATTTATATACGATTAACCATAAGTAGTTTCTTTTGTATGCATCATACTCGCCTATCATCCCGAAGTGTCATTATCTGCCTTAATTTCTTAAATATATATTAATGATTTTTACATTGTCTTTCAGGTTACGGGGATGTCTTTCCGACGAACGTGCTCATATATCCTTATAATACCAATTATTTTAGGAGTTATCGCCCTTGTCGTTGTCGGGATAATATTTTTGCCAGAACCGACCAACCCACCGCCTCAAATGGGTATGCATGTTTACTGTTTCTGTGAAGGAAACATCAAAACCTAATTCGTTACCTAAGTTGTAATAATGCGATGTATTTATTTTCATTTGAAATGTCAATAATTTTATTTGTAAGCAAAAAGTTAGTAATCAACACGTTACCTATACTGTCCTGTACTGGTTTTTCCTTATCAATTACTATGTTATTATAAAACAGGTCAGTTGATGTTCAGTCATCACTTTTCGTTCATTAACACACGAGTTTTCCGTAAGTGATGCAGTAACAATTGACATGCAGTTTTATTCCTGGTGGATTTCACGGTGTTGATTTCTCCACAAAAAAAAACAACCAACGAAACAATTTTGCAACCACAAAATATGAGATTTGAGTCTCATGAATTTACAAACATTGCCTCTGCTCTGATTTCAGATATATGATAGTATGGCATCAATTACGTTTTATCATTTAAAAAAAATGTAATTAAATTAAACAAATCCGACGCGGAAATTGCCATATTTTCTTTAAGTCAGATAGTTTGTATATAACTTTTTGTGGTGTGAAGTAATTGCTTTGAAGCATTAAGGAAGTTTTTAAGGAATTTACGTGATTGATTTGTTTTTGTTTGAGGGAGAACACCCCGCCCCTATAACAACTTCTCCGTAACATTATACGTTTTTTTTGCAGTTCAAGAGCCAATGCCTTTCTGTGTTGGATCGCTAACCCCAAGTTATTCCGCTTCTGTACAGTCCAACTGTGCCCCTCTTGCAGCTAGTGTTGCCTTTGAAATTTCTAAATTTAGAGTTATCTCCCCTGGCAACAAGACGGCAGTGAGTAGAGATCTGGATATGTCGTCGGAGCCCTTCATCATCACTGTGGCCGAGATATGGAATATCAATTGGTCAGGCATTACACATAACCTTATTATCTCGCCAGTTCTAGGCGCTTTGACATGTAACATGGAAGGGACCTATTTATTTGAATATCTCAACCGTACAAATGGTCTTGTATATTATCAGCGATTCGATCTGATTTACTTGGGTAGGTATATACTCTATAGTTGAAACAATTCAGTATGAATTTACTATTAATTAACGATTAGGTCCGGATGTAAATGTGGATTTATTTAAAAATGGCTTGATTTGAGATAAAATTCCGTTTTATTTTCTACTCCAATTCGATATTTGTCGGTATATATTTAACATTTGCTAGTATATATGTATTAGAGTATTGTATTTACGAAATTTATAATTTAAGTCAAACATGTGAACAAACGTCACTTAAGGAGCAGAGAAAAGTGACCTTTAGAGAATGGTGTTTTGATAAATGTGTCAATTACTGTAATTGTTTTATAAAGAGCTGAAGTCATCCATCCAACATTGTTCTTTATATACCGATTGTCATTAAGATAGGTTTGACTGTAATCCACAGGAAATCTGGACGATGTCCGCATTTCCGTTCAACCGTATCTGAAAAAAGATGGCGTCAGCAAAGCAATGTATCTCTCGTGTTCCATGAAAACTGGATGTCACCATGGTGTTATCGTACCGGAACTGAAAAAGGGAGACGACACATTATTCATTCATGGCGCGTCGTGCAGTTACTCTTTCAACAACTCATTCGGAGGTGAGGTGACGTGTACAACTGATATTGAATCAGACGATTGGGTTTCTCATGACGAAGTTATATGTGCTCTGAAACCTGATGATGGAGTGCACCCAAGAGTTCAAGTTGGAAGACTAAACACTAGTAACGCAGATCTGACAAGTAAGTTATGGTAATGATTGTGCAGTTTAAAATCTTTCTATAGCATTTAGCATTGCTTGGTAACGATGGAAAACATATCGACGAATCGAAATCTCAATTTGCTTCAGAAGGAACAAGTAAATGTATTTACTCTGAATGAAGTTGTAATAAATAAAAAGAAAAACTATTTTTAAGACCAATGATCAAACATTCCTACAGTGATGAGTTGATTTTAAAGTAATGAATTCCAGAAAGGATGACACTTTGATATTAAAATCTAACTTCCGTTATCAGTTTTGAAAAAAAATATGTAGCTTTTGTCAATGTTTGTCAAATATATTGTTATCTGTGTACTAAACAAATGATTTGGAGATAAGAGGAAGTACATGGTAGCATTTCGGTTTCGTGGTCACAACGAATGGCTGTCTTTTATTTTGATTAAACCATTTAATCTTAATAGAAATTAATTCATGACAAAGATGTAAAATGTAATGCTTGTGGTTATGTAACATTGGCTGTTACGAGGACGTTCAATCTGTAAAACAAAACTTTGAAAATAGTAGGACGATCTAATGTTTACTCAAGGAGGTAGCTCAGAATCCATTCAAGAAATGGAGTCCTCTGAAGTCGACCAGTTTCGTTCTACTTTCCATTAAAATCAAACGGTTAAGCTATGTACATGTTACTTTCTGTAAAATCATCAGTTTTGGTGGGGATTTATTTTGTTGATTTCATGGGTACTCCCGATTCAAGAATTGATATGTTTACAAACTGTTATCATAGCATAGGCTGCTGTATTAAGTTATATACTCGAAATCTACTGTTCACGAAATATTGAGTTTTGGAAAAAAAAAACCAAAATAGAACCCCTTGAAATGTGAGCTTCTACAGTATGTATTTGTTCAGACAACTGTCACAATTCGTGCGTTCCTGCCAATTGAGATAAAAACAGAAATATGCCGGAGACATCATTATAATTAAATCATTTTACAATATGTAATAGCGTATATTTCTAAGTGATAAGCATCTATGTATTATTTGTGTTTGTCAAATCAGATTACTGCTCATCGGTAACGTTCACAATCGGCGAGCCTGGACTTATCAATTGCCAAAAGAGAACATATGGAAATGTAGACGTCATATTGGAAAGGAAAAGCCACTACTTTGGTGACTGGACAACGTTGTTGGCAATTTCTGGTGAAGGAAGCGCAAATACACTTAATGATCGCCTTACGTTCAGTGTCGTGAAAACTGAAGACGTGATTGAAGTAAATATATCTATATCTGTAGTTCATTGTGGCGACAAAGGACTGATGGCATTGAATTACTCAGACGGTTCCCGCACCAATATTGAAATCGATGTCACCTCAGGTAAATGATATATAGCTCGTTAACAAAATAATAGGCATTCATGAATATTTCAATACTTTAATTAGCATTGTTTGATTAATTATCATGAACTTTATTAATTTTCAGTACGAGCTTAAACATTGAAATAAAAAATAATGTGTTGAGTTTATGACTTTGTAAAACTCCAGTATTTTTGGTGATATTGGTTGTTTTGAATGTTATACGTTTAATTCGACCTATGACTCTGTTTGTTCGCTACCTGAATTTCAACTTTTATGAACCCAAGCGTTACTGTTGAGTATCAGAATGATGAAATATTTCAAGTCATAAGTTGTCTCTATTGTATCTCATTCCAAATTTTTGGGAAGAGGCAATTCCTTTGAAAGTGTTTTTCGTGTTATGTATGACAGGTGCCAGTTGTGCCACAGCTGTGACTAGCGCTCTTCATGTCACCAACCAATTCAGATTAAGCTGTTCGTGGTGCCCTGGTCATGACGTCGATCAGATTTTTGTCAATCACACAAAAACTGTCGATTTCCAAACAACAGAGCAACCCTCATTTCCAATATCATTTTTTGTGGAAAATCCGACATTTCGAGCGCCGAACGTGACTATAGATTTTTCCCAGGCTTATGGTGTGGCGACGGTAGTTATTAGGCGAAAAAAAGGTGTAGGGTGTAAAGATGGTGGCGAATACACTATAACCCTCTTCTCACCCACCGGATCATCAACCAAAACCATACACGTGGACATCACAAGTAAGGCACAGAATTCTCATGTCTTTTTAAATTTTAATGAGATCACAAATCCAGCATTGCATATGTATATCAAGACGTGGAATGTGCTATTTGCATTCAAGACTCCTTCAAATATTAAGATCATTCGCCTTCCACGAAACTGGTATATTTAAACTCAAAACGCAAGTCTATTTTGTACGGTAATGACTGTTATCTTCATTGTTTCAATAAGAGCTGTGGTCAAAGTATCAAAGTCTGGTTTCCTTGACGACTAGCGCCACGACAGATGCAAAACCTTACCATATCGTGTTGACGTCAACGTGACAATTTATGACGTCACATTCTTCTTTAGATTTGTCTGGGTATTAAAAGTCCATTTTTAACCTTCATATCGCTACGATGGTAAAATTGGACTTTCAATGCGTACAACTATATATTCCATGGCGATATTTTGCGATGACCATTTTACTTCTTCTGACCTGAAACACAATTAAGAGAGGGATATTAAAAGCTTTCCCCGAAAATGTACATTTGCCCGCTTGGAGATCACGGAGAGGCGATGTAACGGTAAAAAGGTATAGTAACAGTACTTCTAGTTTTATGACTTTCTCAAGCGTATATTAACCTGAAATATTTTCACACCTGCAAAGAAAGCATAAAAAGTTCTAATGTTGTGTGACTCGCACAATCTAAACCGCTGATGTCAAAGCTATAAGCGGTAAGAGTTTGATTAAGAAATATCAAGTTTATCTCGTAATGTAGTCAATCCTTTACTCAGTTCTCCATTAAAGACTGGTTTACACTACTTTAATAAGAATCGCGACGCTGAAACGACCTAGTCGTCTAGAGCTAGTGGATAAATAAGTCATATAACAGATGTCGTCTATAGCTAGTGGATAATTAAGTCATATAACAGATGTCGTCTATAGCTAGTGGATAATTAAGTCATATAACAGATGTCGTCTATAGCTAGTGGATAAATAAGTCATATAACAGATGTCGTCTATAGCTAGTGGATAATTAAGTCATATAACAGATGTCGTCTGGTGGATAAATAGCTAGTGGATAATTAAGTCATATAACAGATGTCGTCTATAGCTAGTGGATAAATAAGTCATATAACAGATGTCGTCTATAGCTAGTGGATAATAAAGTCATATAACAGATGTCGTCTTCAGCTGGTGGATAAATAAGTCATATAACAGAGTCTATATGGATAAATAAGTCATATAACAGATGTCGGCGTCTATAGCTAGTGGATAATTAAGTCATATAACAGATGTCGTCTTTAGCTGGTGGATAAATAAGTCATATAACAGATGTCGTTTAGAGCTAGTGGATAATTAAGTCATATAACAGATGTCGTCTTTAGCTGGTGGATAAATAAGTCATATAACAGATGTTGTCTATAGCTAGTGGATAAATAAGTCATATAACAGATGTCGTTTAGAGCTAGTGGATAATTAAGTCATATAACAGATGTCGTCTTTAGCTAGTGGATAAATAAGTCATATAACAGATGTCGTCTTTAGCTAGTGGATAATTAAGTCATATAACAGATGTCGTCTATAGCTAGTGGATAAATAAGTCATATAACAGATGTCGTTTAGAGCTAGTGGATAATTAAGTCATATAACAGATGTCGTTTAGAGCTAGTGGATAATTAAGTCATATAACAGATGTCGTCTTTAGCTAGTGGATAAATAAGTCATATAACAGATGTCGTCTATAGCTAGTGGATAAATAAGTCATATAACAGATGTCGGCGTCTATAGCTAGTGGATAAATAAGTCATATAACAGATGTCGGCGTCTATAGCTAGTGGATAAATAAGTCATATAACAGATGTCGGCGTCTATAGCTAGTGGATAAATAAGTCATATAACAGATGTCGTCTATAGCTAGTGGATATTTAAGTCATATAGCAGATGTCGTCTATAGCTAGTGGATAAATAAGTCATATAACAGATGTCGTCTATAGCTAGTGGATAATTAAGTCATATAACAGATGTCGTCTATAGCTAGTGGATAATTAAGTCATATAACAGATGTCGTCTATAGCTAGTGGATAAATAAGTCATATAACAGATGTCGTCTATAGCTAGTGGATAATTAAGTCATATAACAGATGTCGTCTTTAGCTGGTGGATAAATAAGTCATATAACAGATGTCGTTTAGAGCTAGTGGATAATTAAGTCATATAACAGATGTCGTCTTTAGCTGGTGGATAAATAAGTCATATAACAGATGTCGTCTATAGCTAGTGGATAAATAAGTCATATAACAGATGTCGGCATATAGCTAGTTTAAGTCATATAACTAGCTAGTGGATAAATAAGTCATATAACAGATGTCGTCTTTAGCTAGTGGATAAATAATCATATAACAGAGATGTCGTCATATAACAGATGTCGTCTTTAGCTAGTGGATAAATAAGTCATATAACAGATGTCGTCTATAGCTAGTGGATAATTAAGTCATATAACAGATGTCGTCTAGAGCTAGTGGATAATTAAGTCATATAACAGATGTCGTTTAGAGCTAGTGGATAAATAAGTCATATAACAGATGTCAGATGTCGTCTAGAGCTAGTGGATATAAGTCATATAAAGTCATATAACATATAACAGATGTCGTCTATAGCTAGTGGATAATTAAGTCATATAACAGATGTCGTCTAGAGCTAGTGGATAAATAATCATATAACAGATGTCGTTTAGAGCTAGTGGATATTTAAGTCATATAACAGATGTCGTTTAGAGCTAGTGGATAAATAAGTCATATAACAGATGTCGGCGTCTATAGCTAGTGGATAAATAAGTCATATAACAGATGTCGTCTATAGCTAGTGGATAAATAAGTCATATAACAGATGTCGTCTATAGCTAGTGGATAATTAAGTCATATCATATAACAGATGTCGTCTATAGCTAGTGGATAATATAAGTCATATAAGTCATATAACAGATGTCGTATAGCTAGTGGATAATTAAGTCATATATGTCGTCTATAGCTAGTGGATATATAAGTCATATAAAAGATGTCGTATATAGCTAGTGGATAAATAAGTCATATAACAGATGTCGTCTATAGCTAGTGGATAAATAAGTCATATAACAGATGTCGTAGCTAGTGGATATAGCTAGTGGATATTTAAGTCATATAACAGATGTGTCTATAGATGGAAATAAGTCATATAACAGATGTCGTCTATAGCTACTGGATAAATAAGTCATATAATAGATGTCGTCTATAGCTAGTGGATAATTAAGTTATATAACAGATGTCGTCTATAGCTAGTGGATAAATAAGTCATATAACAGATGTCGTCTATAGCTAGTGGATAAATAAGTCATATAACAGATGTCGTCTATAGCTAGTGGATAAATAAGTCATATAACAGATGTCGTCTATAGCTAGTGGATAAATAAGTCATATAACAGATGTCGTCTATAAGTCATATAACAGATGTCGTCTGGAGCTGGTGAATAAATAAGTCATATAGATGGATAATAAATAAGTCATATAACAAATCTCGTCTATAGCTAGTGGATAAATAAGTCATATAACAGATGTCGTCTATAGCTAGTGGATAATTAAGTCATATAACAGATGTCGTCTATAGCTAATGGATAATTAAGTCATATAACAGATGTCGTCTAGAGCTAGTGGATAATTAAGTCATATAACAGATGTCGTCTAGAGCTAGTGGATAAATAAGTCATATAACAGATGTCGTCTAGAGCTAGTGGATAAATAAGTCATATAACAAATGTCGTTTAGAGCTAGTGGATAACAGTCACTACATGTGAATCATTCTTTTCGAATGAATAGATAGTGGTATATAACGAACAAAACCGATATTAGCTATTAACAAACGGAAAATACTTTAAATTAATTATGTCTGTTGTGGAGCTTACGGAGAATCCATTTCAGGGGCCTTCTCTTGTGTTGTACGGAATGATTTACTAAATGGCACATGAATATAATTGTTTTCCTATTCTAATGATTGTCTTCTTTGATATTCTTCATAAAGTGGACCAAGACAGCAATTGCTATTAATAAGTACTTGATAAAAATAATAAAAAAAAAAAAAAAATAAACAAATAAAAATAAAATGCAGCTGCGAAAGTTAGTGTGGATATTATTTATTAACAAATGTATATATTGGTAATTATTACTAAGTAGACAGTAAACTAATTAAATGATATTTTCTATGTTCCTTAGCACCTGAAAGTCTGTACAACGCGTCAATCACGGATGCTCCTCTGGTTGCTGGGTCAGATCACGATATTGAATTCAAAGGATTTATGGGATGTGATGTGAAAGGATTCACTGCAACGAAGGACGGCGTTTCACAGTCGGCAGAAAACGTGAAGGTAAGGTAGTATACCTAGATCAATGTGTTATTCGATACTGAGCTCCCTCTCCAGGCAATGATATTTTATTGAACTTACTTATTGTATTATAGGACTAGAGCACCTCCCTGTCTAGATTTCGACTTTTCTTTCGATCCCTTTGTATTTTCCTCAGTCGCCTTCCAGGCTTTAGAATTTGGGTCCTTAGCATCACTGAAGAGGCCTAGGAGGAAGTAGTTTTTTTTCCATTTAGAGATGTGCTATTCAGTAATGAGTTTATTGTTCAGTCTTTGAATTTCGCTTGTCGGCTCTTTGGCCTCCAGGTTTTAGGCCTGAGCATCGCTAACGAGTCCTAGAAGGACCAAAAACATTTACACTGCGTCATAATCCTTGTCTGTTGGCATGTTTACCTAAAGAAATGATATTCTTTCTTAAACTTTTATTACTGGTATTGCTATTTGTCAAGTAACTACAAAAACATTAGCGAGAAACCAAGCGTGTTGTGTGCAATCAAAATTCATAAGGGTCATTTATATGCAAATGAATGCTAAACATTACATTATAAATATGTCATTACAATTGAATTAATAACTCGGTCGGTAAGATGTTTTTCCTGGTGGTTATAGATTTTGTGTTTTACATATCGACTATCTAGTTGTTAAATTGTCCACCCAATTTAGGTTGCGGATGAAGACATCAGGGATGCAGAAGCTTTCAAGATTGTTTGGTCATACAGACCTTTGACTATGTCCTTAACAAACACCTTCATCAATGCGTCTGTATCATTCCTCTCCCGTGGAGAGACAGTGGCCAAGGAATTTAAAGCGTCAAAAAGACTCCTCGTGCTTGGCGGTAAGATTAGACATCTGTTGGCCGTTTATATTTTCTGTCCCTTGTCAAAAATCATTTGGTAATGTTTTGTTATTTCAGTATTACGCGCAGCATTGCAATTTGATCTTTTGTGTTATGAAGATCGCCAAGGTGGTCCTGATCGATGAGGCTTATAGTGTAATTGCCGCTACAGGGGTTTCTTTCATCAGAAGTTATTTTTCAAAGGACTGCTACATGAAACAGATGATGAAAGACCATGCCTTATCAATATTGTTGCATTTGCCATTAACATTTGCGAAAATACGATTACTAAGAAAAGACGAACGAAATCGAAACAGATTTTTTTCCCCGCCACGACTCAGAATACACATATTTACTTTTGAAAATTAAGAAATGTATAGCAATAGTACTAGTGCACTTCCCCATCTTGAAATTTCTTTCAACATGATTTTGTTGCCTTCAGTCGCCTCGTAGATTTCTATATTTAGGCCCTTTGCATCACTGACGAGTCTTAGAAGGACGAAACAATTGTATGATGTAGCATCACTGACGAGTCTTAGAAGGACGAAACAGCTGTATGATGTAGCATCACTGACGAGTCTTAGAAGGACGAAACAGTTGTATGATGTAGCATCGCTGACGAGTCTTAGAAGGACGGAACAGCTGTATGATTAACTTTACCTCCTTGTTTCACTTTAGTGTATCTAATTATAAATTCGCATTTTAAGGTACTTTCCGTCTTTTGTACATCCTTAGCACAGTCAACTTATTATTTCGTGTCATTTTTCTTTTCAGAAACTATATGCAAAAACAAAGAGAATTGCAACGTAAATCATCCTTACAACCAGAACTTGTTTGTCTCGTGTAGTTCTGCTGGAACCGTACAAGGTGTGAACAGTTGTCCAGCCGGCCTCATTCTTCAGTATCCGGACATAACCGACTGCCTTGGACAATGTGCATAAAAGGTTATTTTCTTCTTCTCGTATGAATATGTTACAAATACTATATTTGGAATGACGGTATGTACATTTTTCATCTAAGTAAGCTATAATGTCTGAGCGAAGTTAATGTAGTTCCGAATGTACTTAATAATCTTCCAAAATGAACAGGTAAATAAAAATGCTGGAATTAATGAATCAAAGTACGTCTCCCCAGATTTGTACTTTTCTGTCGATCTAATTGGATTTTTTAAGTCGCCTCCTTAATTCAAAATTGTAGCATTAACACGCTTATTTGATATAAAGCTTCACAAACATTAGAATAGAATTGTTTTTATCGTATAATGAATACCTGCTTTTTACATTCCAGTCATAGTCAGTAGATATCCTATTTATGTTACGGAAAACAAATGTCATGTTAAACCGTGAATCGTGTTGTGCATTCCACATGTACGATTTCGTTTGTAACTTCTGATTTGGAGAATAACTTATTCTTGAAACATTTCTATTTTATTATCATGTTACTGTACGTACCATCAGTATCAGTTGTTAGTAGAGTTGTTCAGTAAATATGTCCGTGATATTTAGTGTTAAAATCAAACACTACCTTATCATAATTATTTTCTAATATTCAAAGTTTCTATGACATATTGAGAAACGTATAGCACAATTATTTGTGAAACATAACTTTGAAAAAATAAAGTTGTTTAGAAAGATGGAATAATTTTTTTTATATATTATCTTTAATAATTTAAACTAGTTAATTTGATAAAAATAATTAAAAAGTCAGAGCCTGCCTTTTTTATTGTGATATGAAACTTACGTTCAACATATTCACAGCTGAAATCAGTAATTGATTGATAAATACAATTGCTACCAAAAATGGATGCATATTTATTCTAAATCATTGATCGAACACGAAAGGTGTGACGAAATGGTGTGTATGATAATTAAGATGATATGATATTGTCAACAGCAGAACAAGGATAGAAAAATGGATTGTTTATTTATTTCATCACTTGACTACACCATCATTAGTGTTACATGGCTAACATCTATTTCATGTTTCGTATATATTCATGTGAAATAGGATAAAATGGAGCTTGAATTGACTGCAAAATTCTGGCATTTTCATATATACGTCATATATAACCGACGTTATATGCATTGTGATGTCACCAAATAAAGAGAGTGGGCATCTACTTACTATGTTGCGTGTGTATCAGACTGATAAAATGCTGTTTTGACGATTGATTACAAAAGTGTACAATATCTGTGAAAACAAAATTATGCAGCGTTCCCATTTAAATCGCCAGAGAATTGATAAAATGATTTGTTTCATAATTCTACTTGATTCGAGATTCATTAAAAATCGTTATATTATGAAGAGCTTTCGAAGTTAAATGTATTTTTCATATATTACTATATAATATATATGGACCTTACACAAGGTTCCTTTTCAAATATTAAAATAATCTAGGTTGCCTTTTTATTTTTGATACTAGCTTAATTAATAGATATGAAATAAAGAGGGAACAAGTTAAATATACGTTTTGTTACTTGAACATTTGGTTTTGTAAACATTACTGGATATTGTGTTTTTCCTTGTATGGAATCTCCTTGGCCTGATACCTAAGGCATTCATTGAGATGTCTTAAAGAAGTTAATACGCCAAGCAAACCTGTTTATATGAAATATGCTGAGTTAAAAAGTGATATGTATCCGTTTCATAATTTTCTTCAAAATTTGACTTATGAAGTGACTTTCACGAGTTACATTGAAAATTATAGAGGCTGTTAAGACAACACTGCTAGAATCTTTTGTTTCTAAATATTGTAGAATCGGGACCTTTTCAATGGTTGATATATTGCTCATTTAACTTTCGGGAATGTTTTAATATCACTTGTATAAGCAATATGTATTTGTTGTACTTGAGATGTATATCTGTTGATAAACTTAGATACTTATCATGTGAAACTGTATACATAATTCATAACAAAGAATAAAATACCAACATATTAACAAAATTTTGATTAAAAATAAAATTCAAAGAAAGTAGGGAAAATATGAAAAAAGAAAGATTCACGGTGAGACTCCAGAGAAAGTACAAGGAGAAAAAGACCGGGTGTAACAGAAAGTCAACAATTTTCTGCTTGTAAATCTTGGTCAAGTGATATCAGGATAGCAGTACTTATATACTTTGATACATTGTAAATGCCAGCCTAGAATTGACATTGACTTTTCCAACCACGCGCAATCTTCTAATGACCATATGTTAATTCATTATCTAAAACTATGTCGCTTAACATAGTTATCATCTTTGCGAAGACTTATTGTGGAAGTTTGGTCAGCAGTTGTCTGTTTCCTTGTAATCAAGAGACAGGTATTCTCCCCTCTTTCAACTGACTTTCAGATATATAACGTATTGTGTAGTGATACATGTATATTACTTAATTTATCTATGCGTTATTCACTTGTAGTTTATTTGTATTTTATTTTTGTCTTTCGATTTTGTTTTGATTATATGCTTACTTTATTCATTTAACAAGGCATGAAATAAATGATATAGAGTAACAGGTTGTTTATTGTGAATAGATTGTTTGTAACAAAGTTACAACACAAATGCCCGTGTTGGGGAAATATCTATACTGGAAAGTAGAGAAAAATGACGATTTTATTTGGTTTGTATTTAAGATTTCTCCCTTTATTATCTGTTTTATCGTATCATCAGATCACGTGCTTAACTATCCAATATAATAAATTAACGAATTTTTTCTACATAGATACTTTTTTGTTTCATTTTATATAAATTACCTACGTTCTAGTGACAACGACAGAGCTCAGTTTCGCAGATACTTTTTTATATATAAAGAAGACAACTTATGTTTTCCCAAACTATCAAAGACAAAGGATGATTATAGAGTAAAGTTAATCCATTAACATCATAATGAAGACTAAAAGGAAATTTTAAACATGGCCTTTATTTACAATGCCATTTATGCAAACACCCTGGTTTTGTGTTCATGTGTTTATCGAAATAATAAAACAGAATATCAGATAATTTTGTAATTAAACCCAGATCTATTGTTTAACTTCCGGCCTCGTTACATTGTTTTAAGATATTTTGATTTTTTTTCCAACAACGTAGATATTGCAACTTTTTGTAAGTTATATTGTACACAATCAACTCCTCTGTGTAGGTCCATGTGGTATTGCTTTGTGTTAATGTGAACATTTCCACACTATCGCTATCAAATGCAGCTGGCGTCAAAGTAAATATTTACAATCCACCACAATGAATTATCTGCTTCGTTTGTAAGCTATAACTTCACTAATCCTATGAAATAAATTAAGTTTTAAGGATGAATGTCTTTGAGTTCACAGCTTAGTATAGTTCAGTTCCTGAAATCTGCTCAGTTATAGCTACTCTGTTGCCTTTTGTAAACGTAGATTTTAATTCTCTTCGAAATTTTGGTCCAGTAAGACAATATATGAAGAAATGAATAGAATTGTTCAAGTATTGCATCATATTACAGAAACACCATAGCAGGTTCATTTTCGCACGTGAATGATCGGATACATTCACATACCATTGTATGTATCCTATAAGGTATATGACAATAGGAGCAGTCAGCAATAGAAACAAGCAATTTATTGACAGTAACATAACTGTAACATTAGAAATTTTCCCCGTTCTCTGTTGAATTCTATTCCGTTCACTTCCATTTTTAGACAAACTATTTGATGTTAATCTGAGTTGATTTGACGTTGAATTTGAATCGGGTTTAACAACAGCAATATCGGACCTTTCGGCGTTGCAACGGGTCCTGTCCGTCATTTTATGAGCCATGAGTCTCCGTGAAGAACGACACAATTGCCGAACTATGATGATATTACTAGTAATCATGATACTAAACGGAATGCCGCTAAACACACTGAAGTCAATCCATGGCCATATTGAATTAGCAAAGTATGTAACCCCGGTACACTGGATTTCATCCGCGAGATCCTTAATTGCAAGCGACCAAAATAGATGTCCGTTGATCGCTATGAGAGTACCCAAAATAACACAAACTGTTATTTTCGCCACTTTGCGGGTACAAATAACTTTAGCTTTAAATGGATGACAAATCGAAAAGCAGCGGTCTACAGTGACAGCAACCAATACCCATGCTGTGAAATCTAGTGAAACATATACTAGGAAACCATGAAACTTACAGAAAGCGTTTGAAATCAATCTTATATCTTGGTCGAATCCGAACTTTAGCCAAAAACGTAGCAGGCCTGTGTAAAGAACAAATATGTCGCCAAACGATAGGACAAGAAGGTAGAACATGGTGTTAGATGTCCTCATGGGCTTGCGAAGAAGCACAACAATCGCTAAAAGGTTGGCGATGGTGCCGATGATTATCAAAAATGGCGGGAAATATAGCCATATCATTACGGCAGTTTGAAATTCTTGGAAATGATGGAAAGTGGTGTCGTTTGTCATGATGATAATGGCTCGGTATCTCAAGGGCACGTCAAGTCAAACTGCTGAAATATTTAAGTTTAAAATTAAACGAAATAAACAAGCAAAATGAATTAAGAAACAGAAAATGTTTATTAGTAAAAAAAGCATATTTACAGACGGACTTCTTCTAAGGAATAAACAAATCTTAAAAGCGAGAAAAATGTTAATTTACGAAAATCAGTAATATTATCGATATCGAACTAACATACTGTTATAAACGACAAAGCAATACTCGTTTATCTTTTGGAAATATACATCAACATACTATTATTGATGTTACAATTTCTTTTATGTCACATTTCTCATTATTGCAAGTTGGTTTCTGCTTTTTACAGTTCATCTGTGTTTTTGGATGTAGATTTCTGTATGCAATGATTTCACAAAGCAGTAAAATATGTAGAAATATATTTTTCCAGTATTATTTTTCCTTAAGCAGTCCATTGTCATCACCTAGATCACCAAATAGACTCTAGAAGTACTGATGATTCATACGGGGACATTATACGTTACTGTTTGATTCGGTTTTCAACTACATTGTATATAATTATCAAGATGTGTTATTCCCTAATGTGCTTTGACAAAGATGTGTTATTCCCTAATGTGCTTTGACAAAGATGTGTTATTCCCTAATGTGCTTTGACAAAGATGTGTTATTCCCTAATGTGCTTTGACAAAGATGTGTTATTCCCTCATGTGCTTTGACAATCATTCTTGTAATAAGGAAAATACTAGACTTTAATCCTGGGTAAATAATGTTAGATTGTGTGTGTCTATCCAATACCAACGATTTCATTAATAGTTGTTGACAGCCTAAACACGGCTAACATGTTTTAATGAATAAAAGAGATATTTTCACAATGTTTATTAATTTTGTCATGTTTTGGTAAATTCGGTTTGTTTAGTTTTGTAAGTAATTCGTAATAACCTAATTGTGAATTGCGGTTTTTAGAAATAATTTTCTGGTCCCCAGAGATTCGTTATTGTCGTGTTTTACTGTTTAAGATAGTATGCGGATTCGATGTAAATGCAAAGTCCTTCTATGTATTGGAATCAATAAGAGAACACCGCTTTTGCATGGTTATATTCACTAGATTACTCGTGATGATACGAATAAAGCAACTGAGCAATGCCATAAATTAGGCATTTCCAAGTGTCTTATTCTGGAAGACAACGAGCAAAAACCTTTAAAGGGAAATATACACCGCTGCATCATACAGAAACTGACCAATCAATAAATTTTATAATATAGGGTTCAGATCGTAATTCAAATGTCCTTAGTATTTTCTGTGATTGCAAAACAAATGAGTAAGACCTTTGTACCATTCAAAATAAAAAGGCCATAGACGAATATCGAAATAAAACGTTATATAATAACACTTACCAGCTCTACCTCAGATCACCGTGACATCACAGGGAATATAGGCTTCCAACATGAACTGTCGTCAGGGGTGTACATCCCTATCTACTAACGCATGCAATCAAACGTCGCTCTCAGACTGGATCATCATCTACTCTTCAGTTTTCTATCTCTTTCTTGTAAAGGTTTCCATGTTTTCACTTCAAATTTGTAATATCCAAACAAACATGCCTTGTTGAAAATCATTCTTTTTGCCAAACGATGTGACAGCATTTAGTGTCCGTGGTTTCATCAGAATCCAAGCATGTAGATGCTAAAACGAACAATACAGAGAACTCATGTTAGTGAAAATCAAAGTTAATCTTTCTTCTTATCAAACCGATTTTGGATATAACATCGAAATGTCGGTTTATCAATGAGCCTTCTACATGTTCTGAAGAATACTAACATTATTATACCAAGCTGTCATTTTAAATTGGGATGCTGAAATAGGATTATTGTCTCATTCTTCGTTTGCACAACTGTTTGACGTAGTTATGATAGTTATAAAACAGCTGAGTTAAAGCATAATCAGCTTAATTGAACTAACTTTCCGTTACAGGTTTGATCATGATATTTACTTTACATTTATTAGTGACAGCTACACAGTACCTTAAATAAAGCCATCAAAGTATGGAATTCCGAACACTGTTGTAATAACTTTGTTAGAGAAAACGATATATCACAAACGGCTGACTAAGCATGTCAATCTATCACCTGTCAGATTCTCTGTTTATTACCCGTTATAAAAGCCAACTGGTCAAACGACATGGCGTCCAGAATGTTTGATCGGTGAAGTCTCGTGCTTGTAACTACTATAATTGGTGTGGATGACAACCTAGCAAAGAGATAAGGGGCCTGACAGTAGCCATCACAAGGTGAACACGTGATTTGGTGAACTATTAGTGACAATGCGGTCAATAAGCCCCAGCCAGGCTACAATACAATGATACTAAATTTTAGAGAGAGATTGATGTGTCTCGCTGTAATAACTTTATGACTATTCGAACCTGTTTCGTATCTAGGCGAATTGTTGATTTCCTTACCATATCGGTCTAACTTCAATAATGTCGACGCGTAATAACTTTACACAGTCACTGCTCCAAATGTATAATATTACATTATGAAATATAAAATCACGGAGAGATACAGACAAAAATTGAATTAATATGCACAAGGATATCTTGTCTAGAGAAAAATACACGTGCCAGTGAAATTAACAGCGAAGAAAAAGGAAAAGAGCTTGCGAAGAGGCACGTGTCATATGAGGCTGGAGAAGAAGAGGAGTAAATGACAGTAGGAGAAGCAAATTGCCATATACGACCAAGATTAACGAAACTCAAAGTTATATCAGAAAGGTTCAAGTATGGTACGGTATCGTATATCTCTGAGAACATGTAGAAAAGGTACTTGCAAAAAGTGAGGAGAATAGGTTTTTTTTTATTAGCCCTTAAGTGGGTTTGAAACAGATGAGCAAACGACCAATGCTAGCTACATTTGAGGATAATGGAAACAAAAAAGAGTTCTTCAGACACATCCAGATGTTGCTGTCCGATGACCAATAAAAAGACATCAGTGTCAGTAATGGTCGTACAATTTATTATTTTGTTTCTGTTTTTTACATAGCATTTATAAGGAAAAGACATAATCGCCATTTGGTTGTTCATGTCTCTGGTGGGAATATCTCCTTGTTAACAGCTCCAGGGTCATTATGCGTTTGGACCTTCTTTTCACTGCTGGTGGCTACCTCACTGGGAAAACACGAGTGAGAGGCCCAACGTAATGGCATCTAGAACAAGAAGGGGAAAATGTCTTGTCCAACACAACAACCACGACAGCACAGACTGGTCCATTTCACAATTTTTCGAGAAACACAAACTGTCATGGGTATTATACGTCAGAATGTATGCAAGTTATTGATCATGGAAGGAAAGCACGATAAAAAAAATAATAAAAAAAAAAGACAAATGATTATATAGTTCAGAATGAATCTTTCCTTAGTATGCCTTCGTGAAAGTTGTCAAAGGAAGAAGAAGAAGAAGCTACCCCTTCTGTAGCTTCAATTATGTACTGTAGGTCAGGTTGGTAGAACCACAGGTTTTCTTTTTTACACAAAATTATTGCTCGGTGACGTAGGTTATTTCACTGTTGTGGCAATGTTAATGATCGTGTTGACGGGTGTTGCACAATCATATCTCAAATCTGATTTTCGTCATTATGGTATTAAATACACATTTATGATTGCATTATACTTTAGCACAAACACATGTGTGTGGTATGTGTTTTCATCGCCACCATCACGCAAACCAAACACATTTGAAAGCCAACTTCGCATGCATCTTCTCGTTACGATTTTACCGTCCAGCTCTAAGAAATTCAAATGGACATTACAATTGAAACCTGGCATCAATATCACTTTACATCAATGTTGTTGAAATCAGGCACTCATACCTCATGTCTTTATGTAAAGCTTTATCAGATGTGAGTTGTTGAGTTCTCAATGCTCTTTTTAATAACATGTTAAGACCACTGCATCGCATTCTTAAAAAAAGTATTTCAGAGAAGAAATTCACTCAATATTCTTGCAGCATCTTCTTCTTTGTAATTTTTCACAACAAACGAGGATGAACCAGTTTCTACACCTGCTATCACGGCTGATAAATCTGGAAATAAAAATTCAACTTTTGGAAATCTGATTCATGGGAAAGTTTGTGTTACGAGAGAAAATTTTACATGTACTAGTAGAAAGAAGAAAAGCAAGTTCGGTCTTTGTAACAGATCTTTTAGAAAGGAGGTCATCAAATTAAATTTGACACTGAGATACCTCCATGCACTGTGAAAATATTCTTCAGTTAAAATTCAGCCGACTATGACCCCGCTCCATGCTATATGCCTTCAGCAGATTTTCCAAGAGAGCGTACATCCAGGATACTCCTGAGCTATAAACATTTATGCTGGAAAGCATTACAAATCGAATATGGGAACAGTACAGATCGGCTACACAATATTTCTGTTTGAAGAGTTTGTAGAGTGAAATGCCGCGAATGAATGAAGTCGATAGTGGTAAGGCCACTGCTCTGATAATACAAGGGCATTTGCAATGTAATGAAGTCCAGCAATATGGTATACACGTGACAAAGATGTCCCGTTTATTTGGGCGTCTCTGAACCACATGGAGAGTTGGTGACCGTCCCAGGAGCGGACACCCGCGCGTTACGTCGCGTCATCAAGATAGAGGCATACATCTCTCGAACCTCCGTAATTGATTTCAGACGGTGACGGGGGTGGCACGTCATGTTGTCGGCACTCAGGGTTTGCCAAGACGTCCCTATGTTGGTCCATCACTTACGCAGACGTAACGCCAACATCAAATGCAGTGGCTGCACATCCACCTCATCGGTCTAGTTTGGCCCATTAGATACGTTTGTGTTGTTCACTGAAGAGTCTCGCTTCACGCTTTTACAGGTCAGATTGACGACAATGTGTCTAAGTTTTTACATATCAATCTATCTCAAAACAAGAGTGAGACAATTACACGACAATTAAACAATGAAGAGTAGTAAGCATTGGTTTATTGGTTTATTTTCGGATAAATACAATTCCCGTTTGACATTCAGAAATAAGTGACTCACCTTAGTTGTTACACCAATATTTTTTTTATTTTATTTAACAAAATACTATACTGTAGAGCTGGTAATTTTTCGAGATTTTCTAAAAAAAAAAGGGAAATATCGAAGTAGAATCTATATTTCAACGAAAGCGAATTTTGCGATTTGGATGCAAAAATACACATAATCATTATCACGTGTCTAATTATTTTACAGATTAAATTTTCGCGATCATGTTAATGTGCCGCGAAATAACGAAAAAGCCATATCCGCGAAAATAATCGGTTATACACAATCTTCAAGTTCTACTTACGTTTGCCTGAATCCGGTCTAAACAAACAGAGTATCCTCTTATTTAATGTGATTGCTCGTCCGATCTCATATCCAACTCCAAGTGATGGCTGTGTTACTTCTGCTACCACCACTGATAACATTAATATTTTAACGATGGAAATAAATATGTCTTCTTGTCAGTACAACCGTTCCAACTACGGTTATGAATTTATTTAATACATTTTATTAAACCATTTTGTCTAGTTCTACGTGTCGTGTGTGCCAGTCCATCGAATGCTTTTCCTATGACAGATACAGTAATGTACAAACTGAATTCCACTAAGATTGTTTAAAAGGAAAAAAAAAGAAAAAAAGAGCTTTTCAATGTATCATTTTCTAACTATTCTTCCCAGTTAAAACATCAATAAAAAAACTATATAGACCTACCGTCACAGTCTTGAAGCCACACCATATCTCGATCATGAATCTCCTTTTCTGTCAAGTCTTTTTCAACTGCCGAAACTACAACAAAATCTAGATTTTTACAATTCAATACTGTACATGCCGATTATACTCAACATCTACCCCATGAATTAAATGATCTGACAAAACAAAGTACGTTGTACCTTTCATTCAACAGTGAAACACATAACGTACAGCTGTATGTACAATTAAAATGTACCTACACTCTCATTGGGACTTTTATAAGTATATACATGTAGATAAAAGTAATCCTGCATTCCCTTACTTTTTCTACAGCATCTTTAAACCTTCACTGTGGGTTTTAGATAATACACAATTCCATAGATGCCTAAAAGCCTGTAGAAGAACTTAATTCCTTTAGAAAATAAACACATTTAATTTCGAAGACTTCCAATGTTGATCTCGGCGTCACAAACTGTAAAGCCTTTCCCTAAGAATACTACCAAGTATTAACAAACGACCACAACGCTACTCAAAACTTTTTAAGTACTTCCATCAAATACTAAATAAGGCGTAAGTAACATTTGTTTTGCAAAATACGAAATATGGCCCTAGTTCTCCTTTCACTACAGATTAAATGACAATAATTATATCTAAATCCTTGTATTTACAAGTTTTGAAAACTTTATGGCTTTAGGCATAATTCGTCTTCAGGAGAAGAAATACTGTTAGCAATTAAATGCTTTAACAAATTTGACCTCAAACGCAAATAATTGTTTTGAGTTTGGCTGACTTTGAGTGTAGTAAAACGTGCGAATTTATATGATGTGTTCATTGACACTGTCTCTATCAGCCATGGCGACTCGACCAGTGTAAGGCCAAATAGATCTTCAATTTTTGAAGAGTCTTTTCCTCATTCATTTTTCATTGTATTAAATCATTAACAAAACGACAATTTTTTTTAAGTAGAGATGATCGGAAGGATGGAATTCCATCTTCCAATTACACACTCGTATTTCTCAAACATTTTCAAGTAATTAGTAAATATATGACAATTTATTGATTTTTCATTTTCATCAGCTAGAATATCAAAATGTAAAAAATGCTGTGTTAAGTAACTCCAACTTAACCAAGAATTAAACTTACATTCTTCCAAATTTTTTGCTCCGACATGTTCTGTCAGAACGGTATCATATGCTTTTAGCTTTTCTAGTATTCTTAAATAGATCTCTACATTCTGTCGACCACCCCCAATACTTCCAGCAAAATAGATCTTCATTTTCAATTTAGCTATACAAATAGAAAAATAAACTGAAACTTGTTGCAGTTAGCAAAAGAAATTTCAACGGTGATTCTCATCATATAATAGGACTTGATTTAATTGTTGTCAAAACATCGTCAACATTTTTATTATTTTTTAAAAAGATATTTCTAAACCATGGCTGTGATTGTATTTAAAACTAAACTTACCGAACAGAAAATATGTATCTTGCAAATATGTTATTTCATCATTCCATTAATAATTTTCAATACCGTGAAAACCTGCTTTCGAAAAACTTCAAACCGAAAATTCTGTTTACATATAATGATAGTCCAAGTTTATAGATTAGGACGAACCGATAGATTTGTTTACAAGACTTGGCAATGTTTTTTTCGATACGTGTAATGTGAAAGTCAGTTACAATTTATACACAAAATGCAAACACCATAGGCACCTTACACACAAGCTAGAATCTAAATATATACACAGTGGCTTTTGCGTGGTCAGACTGATCTAGTATTGGTAGGGAGTCCGCTATGATCTCTCCATTCTTTTAAACTGCCGTGATAATTTAAAAGAATCGTCATATTCGATATACTCAATAAAACTCCATTTCATTGTAAATAGATTATGAACATGAACTATCCATTTATATTAACACTGTGATCTGGTCATATTTACGACTGTGCGTGTATATCTAGTTTTAAAGACATATTTTAAGTATATCTTGGTCTATCTTCACACCACCAATAGATAAATTCCAATTGTATGTTCGCCTTGAGGCCCGTCCTCCTTTCTACTAAAAACTACGTGTCAGTTGGTGTAGTGTAAGAGGGTCAGGTTTCGACTAATGACAGTCTCTAACATTGTTTTGCCCGATGACATCAGCCAAAAAAGACCTGTAATCCTAAACGTTCGCTTAAGAGGTCATTGTGAGGATATACAAGGTCAGTGGCCTCGGAAATTATTGCTTTAGTAGACGTCATTTGTCAACTTGTAAATGAGGGATTACATGAAATAGATAAAAAAAATGTCACCGGTAATTATTACTTCTCAATATGGCGTACTTTCATACGAGGCTGATTTTCACAAACAAGACACAAAACCCTTGCATTCTCACTTACAGATGCCTGTATGTTATTGACAATGCCCACCAGAATACCAGCCGCTTACCTGGATATTGTCCTACTACCAAGACGGACAACTTTCCATGAAGCTGTATGATACACGTAATTATTTCATTTTCTTTCGTTTCCCTTGTGTGAATACTCCATTTCTGCATAGCAACAGTCTTACATCACCAGTGTTTAGGGTTTACATGTCGATGTTGTCCCAATATCATGCTTTCCGTGCAAGATGTCGACAATCAACAGATACGTCGAAAACAACAGGGTCTTGAACGATGCAGAAATAGAAATATTCTATTTGTTTCTTTTTTATGCGATATGAAGCTGAACGTGTTTGATGCTCTTTATGTTGTCTGTTGTTTATACCCTGTTCTCATCTGAGAAAGTGACAATATTTGCTTTGAGTGAACAATATTTTACACTGTATGTGTAGTCAATGAAGCAGAAAATGCTTAATCTTTTGGTTCACTTTGTCTTATTCTTATACCGTTTCAGGAGTCTCCGTGTATATCGTCATATCTTGCCCTGGTTTAATTTGTGTTTGAATTATGATTACCTTAACAGGTCAGGATCGTCGTGTTTTTCCAACACACTGCACGTTTACGACAATACTAAGATTTGCTGGTCAAACGTCACATTCCATGTTTCCATTAATGTCTCTTATTGCACATATGCATTTAGATAACAAACCAATTTCAAGGGTCAGTATACACATTTTATAGGTCACCTGGAGGAATAGATAAGTCCATAGTTTACCTTTCATTTGGACCTCTTTTAAGATGGAAAGTTTAATCAAAATTCAATAAATAGGTCACCAAAGGTCACACTATATACGTGATTAATATCAACCAATATTTTACTTTAAGTTTTCACATCAACAGTGTGACGTCAAAAATCAATATATAGGTCATGAAGTCACATGTCATATAAATGATCAATATTATATACCGTTTAACAGGTCAAAGAATGATCGATTTATAAATGAAAATATGACATACTTTTCATTTTTCATAACACGGGAAAGTTATCAAATTCCAGCAAACATGTATGTATTCAGAACTGACCTTGTTAACTAAAAGGTCCAAATAAGGCCCTGTTCAATCACGAGACTAGTGCGTCTTCCTATTGTCCTCGAAATTTCTTCCACTTCCTGAGGTATCTCTTAGGTCTCAATTTGAATGTTCTAAGCACACCGAATTTTTAAGGACAGCTGTATCATACAGATAAAATTCAATGTTTCGCATTAATGTGTATCAATCTAATTTTGCAATAAAATGTGGAATTAACTTGTGTTGTTTTTATACAGTCTGCGATAGGCGAGTACAGTGACAGAGTTGCTACCCTCATCACAATCACATTCTATAATTCTTTCTCTGTTTAATAGGTGGCATTGAGCTTAAACATTGTGGGAATGTGAAGAAACGTGGAGCGTTTTTGCCTGCTAAGGATAATCTGAATTGTTTAAGTCATTAAATACCTGTTCCCACTTCTACTACTGTTTGTACAATGTCTATCATACCTGTTCCCATTTCTACTAGTTTGTACAATGTCTATCATACCTGTTCCCACTTCTACTACTGTTTGTACAATGTCTATCATACCTGTTCCCACCTCTACTACTGTTTGTACAATGTCTATCATACCTGTTCCCATTTCTACTAGTTTGTACAATGTCTATCATACCTGTTCCCACTTCTACTACTGTTTGTACAATGTCTATCATACCTGTTCCCACTTCTACTACTGTTTGTACAATGTCTATCATACCTGTTCCCACTTCTACTACTGTTTGTACAATGTCTATCATACCTGTTCCCACTTCTACTACTGTTTGTACAATGTCTATCATACCTGTTCCCATTTCTAATAGTTTGTACAATGTCTATCATACCTGTTCCCACTTCTACTACTGTTTGTACAATGTCTATCATACCTGTTCCCACTTCTACTACTGTTTGTACAATGTCTATCATACCTGTTCCCACTTCTACTACTGTTTGTACAATGTCTATCATACCTGTTCCCACTTATACCACTGTTTGTACAATGTCTATCATACCTGTTCCCACTTCTACTACTGTTTGTACAATGTCTATCATACCTGTTCCCACTTCTACCACTGTTTGTACAATGTCTATCATACCTGTTCCCACTTCTACTACTGTTTATACAATGTCTATCATACCTGTACATAGGTCCTGCAAGTCTCATGACTATTAAAGCCTGTGAGCATATTATTTACAAATCACAAGAGTATGTGTTGTTATATGAAAGTAGGGCATATTTGATTTATTCACTCACTCAACTACGCACCACATTCAATTCCATCGGGATTCATGCCCCAAACATTACATAAAAGTATAGCTATTGGCATCATTTTCCAGCATAAACAAATAGACCCAGGCAAACTTGTCCTACTTCAGTGATACAGTGCAGACTTCAAAATACATCATTACATATCATAATGCTTGATTTAATGGTAATAATGTGTAATATAAACACACATCACATTTCAATTCAATATTTGTATCCAGTATCAAGAAAATAAGAGCATGTTAACTGAGAGCTGCTTGAAAGTCCAAGGGCCATAACTCTGGAGAGAAAAACAACTGTGTGGAACCAGATAATAACAAAATGTATCTTCTCAGTTTAAAGACCAAGGGAGATTACTCTTGTGAAGATCCGGCATCCAATTTGTTGCCTTGGCATGAAAATCCCTTCAGATCAATTCCATAATGAACTGATCCGATCTGGTTATGTGCACAAAATTTTTTGATGTCCTTGGTGATAACCTGTAAGCACCATTACAGTGTCCTTTTGTGAAATATTTTTTAAGGTTTAATTAAGAAATTCACTCAATATTTTTGTGACATCTTCTTCTTTGTAATTTTTCACGACAAATGAGGATGAGCCAGTTTCTGCTCCTGCTATCATGGCTGATAAACCTGGAAATATATAGTAAACTTCAGTATATCTGAATCATAGGAAAGTTTGTGGGCTGAGTATAATCTTTCTTTTCAGCCATTTTGGTTGAAATCAAAAGAGGAGCCATTTTGTAATTAAAGAAAATAATAAAAAAACAAGAGGCCCATGGGCCTTAACGGTCATCTGACAAAAAGCAAGCCAAACCTAGAAAGTTGGTTGAGGTCATTCATTTGAACAAACTTGGTAGCCTCTCCTCCAAGCATCTTACAGGCCCAATATCAGCACTCATGGACTTTTGCTTGTTGAGAAGAAATCGTTTGTATATTTTAACATATTTGACCCCTGTGACCTTGAAAGTGGGCCAAGGTCATTCATTTGAACAAACTTTGTAGGGCTCCATGCCAGCATGCTATGGGCCAAGTATTAGCCCCCTAGGCCTTCTAGTATTTGAGAAGAAGTTATTTAAAGATTTTGACATATTTGACCCCTGCGACCTTGAAAGTTGTTCAAGGTCATTCATTTAAATAAACTTGGTAGCCTTTCCTCCCAGCATGCTACAGACCCAATATCGGCACTCATAGACTTTTGCTTATTGAGATGAAGTCCTTTGTATATTTTAACATATTTGACCCCTGTGACCTTGAAAGTGGGCCAAGGTCATTCATTTGAACAAACTTTGTAGGGCTCCATGCCAGCATGCTATGGGCCAAGTATTAGCCCCCTAGGCCTTCTAGTATTTGAGAAGAAGTTATTTAAAGATTTTGACATATTTGACCCCTGTGACCTTGAAAGTTGTTCAAGGTCATTCATTTAAACAAACTTGATAGCCCTTCATCCCAGCATGCCACAGACACAATATCAGCAATCTGAGCCTTTTGGTTATTGAGAAGAAGTTGTTTAAAGATTTTAACATATTTGACCCCTGTGACCTTTAAAGTGGGTCAAGGTCATTCATTTGAACAAACTTGGTAGTCCTTCATCCCAGCATGTCACAGGCCCAATATCTACACTCTGAGCCTTTTGGTTAATGAGAAGAAGTTGTTTAAAGATTTTAACATATTTGACCCCTGTGACCTTGAAAGTTGTTCAAGGTCATTCATTTAAATAAACTTGGTAGCCTTTCCTCCCAGCATGCTACAGACCCAATATCGGCACTCATAGACTTTTGCTTATTGAGATGATGTCCTTTGTATATTTTAACATATTTGACCCCTGTGACCTTGAAAGTGGGCCAAGGTCATTCATTTGAACAAACTTTGTAGGGCTCCATGCCAGCATGCTATGGGCCAAGTATTAGCCCCCTAGGCCTTCTAGTATTTGAGAAGAAGTTATTTAAAGATTTTGACATATTTGACCCCTGCGACCTTGAAAGTTGTTCAAGGTCATTCATTTAAATAAACTTGGTAGCCTTTCCTCCCAGCATGCTACAGACCCAATATCGGCACTCATAGACTTTTGCTTATTGAGATGAAGTCCTTTGTATATTTTAACATATTTGACCCCTGTGACCTTGAAAGTGGGCCAAGGTCATTCATTTGAACAAACTTTGTACGGCTCCATCCCAGCATGCTATGGGCCAAGTATTAGCCCCCTAGGCCTTCTAGTATTTGAGAAGAAGTTATTTAAAGATTTTGACATATTTGACCCCTGTGACCTTGAAAGTTGTTCAAGGTCATTCATTTAAACAAATTTGATAGCCCTTCATCCCAGCATGCCACAGACACAATATCAGCAATCTGAGCCTTTTGGTTATTGAGAAGAAGTTGTTTAAAGATTTTAACATATTTGACCCCTGTGACCTTTAAAGTGGGTCAAGGTCATTCATTTGAACAAACTTGATAGCCCTTCATCCCAGCATGTCACAGGCCCAATATCTACACTCTGAGCCTTTTGGTTATTGAGAAGAAGTTGTTTAAAGATTTTAACATATTTGACCCCTGTGACCTTTAAAGTGGGTCAAGGTCATTCATTTGAACAAACTAGGTAGTCCTTCATCCCAGCATGTCACAGGCCCAATATCTACACTCTGAGCCTTTTGGTTAATGAGAAGAAGTTGTTTAAAGATTTTAACATATTTGACCCCTGTGACCTTGAAAGTTGTTCAAGGTCATTCATTTAAATAAACTTGGTAGCCTTTCCTCCCAGCATGCTACAGACCCAATATCGGCACTCATAGACTTTTGCTTATTGAGATGATGTCCTTTGTATATTTTAACATATTTGACCCCTGTGACCTTGAAAGTGGGCCAAGGTCATTCATTTGAACAAACTTTGTAGGGCTCCATGCCAGCATGCTATGGGCCAAGTATTAGCCCCCTAGGCCTTCTAGTATTTGAGAAGAAGTTATTTAAAGATTTTGACATATTTGACCCCTGTGACCTTGAAAGTTGTTCAAGGTCATTCATTTAAACAAACTTGATAGCCCTTCATCCCAGCATGCCACAGACACAATATCAGCAATCTGAGCCTTTTGGTTATTGAGAAGAAGTTGTTTAAAGATTTTAACATATTTGACCCCTGTGACCTTTAAAGTGGGTCAAGGTCATTCATTTGAACAAACTTGGTAGTCCTTCATCCCAGCATGTCACAGGCCCAATATCTACACTCTGAGCCTTTTGGTTAATGAGAAGAAGTTGTTTAAAGATTTTAACATATTTGACCCCTGTGACCTTGAAAGTTGTTCAAGGTCATTCATTTAAATAAACTTGGTAGCCTTTCCTCCCAGCATGCTACAGACCCAATATCGGCACTCATAGACTTTTGCTAATTGAGATGATGTCCTTTGTATATTTTAACATATTTGACCCCTGTGACCTTGAAAGTGGGCCAAGGTCATTCATTTGAACAAACTTTGTAGGGCTCCATGCCAGCATGCTATGGGCCAAGTATTAGCCCCCTAGGCCTTCTAGTATTTGAGAAGAAGTTATTTAAAGATTTTGACATATTTGACCCCTGCGACCTTGAAAGTTGTTCAAGGTCATTCATTTAAATAAACTTGGTAGCCTTTCCTCCCAGCATGCTACAGACCCAATATCGGCACTCATAGACTTTTGCTTATTGAGATGAAGTCCTTTGTATATTTTAACATATTTGACCCCTGTGACCTTGAAAGTGGGCCAAGGTCATTCATTTGAACAAACTTTGTACGGCTCCATCCCAGCATGCTATGGGCCAAGTATTAGCCCCCTAGGCCTTCTAGTATTTGAGAAGAAGTTATTTAAAGATTTTGACATATTTGACCCCTGTGACCTTGAAAGTTGTTCAAGGTCATTCATTTAAACAAATTTGATAGCCCTTCATCCCAGCATGCCACAGACACAATATCAGCAATCTGAGCCTTTTGGTTATTGAGAAGAAGTTGTTTAAAGATTTTAACATATTTGACCCCTGTGACCTTTAAAGTGGGTCAAGGTCATTCATTTGAACAAACTTGGTAGTCCTTCATTCCAGCATGTCACAGGCCCAATATCTACACTCTGAGCCTTTTGGTTAATGAGAAGAAGTTGTTTAAAGATTTTAACATATTTGACCCCTGTGACCTTTAAAGTGAGTCAAGGTCATTCATTTGAACAAACTTGGTAGAGCTCCATGCCAGTATCCTCTGTGCCAAGTATTAGCCCCCTAGACCTTCTAGTATTTGAGAAGAAGTCGTTTGAATGAAAAGTTTACGGACGGCGCACGGCGGACGACGACGGACGAAGCATGATGACTATAGGTCATCGGACCCTTCGGGTCAGATGACCTAAAAATGCAAATTGATTTTGATTACAGGTGGCCCTATCTGAGATTATATCTGAATCTGACAGAACAATCGTAACCAGTCTTAAGTTTCGTTGAAAATCAGGAATTCATAATTTAGACATGTAGGAAATTTCTTTGCACAACCTTTGTCTCAAGATCCAAATAAAAAATATCACCTTGAGTATATCTAGGAATTTTCACAACTAAGAAATTCATTTTTGCATTATTTTGATGGGGCCATCAGTACATTGACATGATCATGGAAACTGAATCCATAAAATGATGAGACACGTAAGTAATTAATGTCCTTTTAAATCAAGATCGCAAAATTTTAATTCCAGAAAATGAAATTGATGGATGTAAAAGAAGCCTGACCATTTTGACCTCTGAAAATTACCTCCTATATGATACCATGAATGAAGTCAACCTTTTTAATACCATCAATAAATCTTATGTACCTGTTTTTTTCACTTTACAAAACATATATACAATTCTAACATTCTGTAAAAAACCAATATGGCAGTGATGAGGAATCGGTTGAAATTGGACAGACTTGTCCATGCAATTAATTGATTACATAATTGGCTGACTGTGTGTTCAGTGTACATAGAAAGTGAATTTGAAGTAATATTAGCATACAATTATAAAGGGACATAACTCCAGGCTGTCCAGCACTTCTTGACAAAAAATTAGGACTAATATTAGGGCTGAAATTACAAAATTTTAGGGCAAATTTAGGGCTAAAATTAGGAATTTTGTAACTAGAATAGGGAGTATGAAAGCATTAAACTGACTTACGTTTGCAAATTAGACAAAATAGAAACGATCATACAATGCCTTAATTGCAGGAAAAGTGTCTTCCAGGGTTTAAGTGTCCCAGCTGCTGTTGGCTGTGACCTGAAATATATATACGATGGAATAATACTTAACTGAAAAGAACCCTTAAAATTAATATGACTTACACTATGTCACAGAATTTGGGATCTAGGCTGCAGCACTAGCTATACACTTGAAATTGTCATGCTTTCATGCTGCACTTTCTGTGAAAGGAGCTTGAGCTTATTTCCTTCAGATAATCTTCAATGGGAAAAATGGCTTGGAGGTATTGCTTATTACATACCTTAAGAATCACACCTCTGTCACTCAGTCACAACCAATAACAATCTGGGTACATAGATCCACTGGTCAACTGCCTATCATTGTCTATCCTGAATTAGAACTACAGACTACATTAAAACACATTTTAAGTATGAATTTAATGAAAACATTTTCAGTAAATTGTAAGAAATATTAAAAAATAGCTCCGCAAACGCAGGCAATACCCCACAGCTTTATTATAAAGTTGGATGCAGGGCCGAGATTGTGAAGAACCTCAATAGGCTGTATAGGTCCAACATGCCCAGCGAAAATGGTCACCACTTGTGATATCGTTCTTGAGATAATGAGCGGAATGCAAAATCAAGATGGCTGCCGTAACCGCCATATTGGATATCGGGCAACAAAGAAAAACAATAGGGCTATGCAAGTCCATAGACCCAACATGCCCAGCGGAAATGGTGATTGCCAGTGATGTCATTCTTGAGATAATAAGTGGAATGCAAATTCAAGATGGTGGCCGTAACTGCCATATTGGATATCTAGTGACAACGAAAAACAATAGGGCTGTGTAGGTCCATAGGCCCAACATCCTCAGTGAAAATAGTGACCACTGGTGTTGTCGTTCTTGAGATAATGAGCGGATTGCAAATTCAAGATGGTGGCCGTAACTGCCATATTGGATATCTAGTGACAACGAAAAACAATAAGGTTGTATAGGTCAATAGGCCCAACATCCTCAGTGAAAATGGTGACCAATGGTGTTGTCGTTCTTGAGATAATGAGCGAAATGCAAATTCAAGATTGCGCCCGTAACCGCCATATTGGATATCGTGCGGTGACGAAAAACAATAGGCTTGTGTAGGTCCACAGGCCCAACATCCCCAGTGAAAATGGTGATGACCGGTGATGTAGTTTTTGAGATAATAAGCGGAATGCAATTGTGGACAGACGGACTGAAAGATGGACATTTTAGGGACGCTGGACAGCCTGTAACTCCTTACATAATAATGCATCACTTCTACCAGGCTTCAAAATATCAAATAAAGTCAGTTAATAAAGTAAACAGAAATAATTGGGAAAAGTATAATACATAATACAGATATCAACTAAAGGGGCATAACTCTCAAGAAAATCATGAAAATTGAAAAATAAATTGATGTGTGTATTCTTGAGAGCTTGGACCAAGTCTTCCTGGTAATGGATGGTTACACACTCTGAAACTACTACTTTAATCCCAGTATGGGGATATAATAAAGAGAAATAGCTACCAAATTTAACAAAGATTAAATGTAATTTGTTGGGATACCTGTACAGCAATGCAGATTCTCATATTAATTGGAAAAGAACTTTTTACAGGACAATGAAAAAGTGAAAACCCATGCATTGTTGCATGGGCTTATTATCAGACAGAGACTTTGTTAAATAGATATATCAACAGACATTCAGGAATCAGGGACATGTAAGCTGAGATACCTAATCTTCGCTGTTATTTGAAAGAAACCCAAACAAAACATTGCATTTCCCAGGTTCTACGTACTTTTGCCTGAATCCAGTCTGAACAAACAGAGTATCTTCTTATTTAATGTGATTGCTCGTCCGATCTCATATCCAACTCCAAGTGATGGCTGTGTTACTTCTGCTACGAACACTGTAAAAATTTGGTTATAGGTGTAAGATACACAGATGGTTAAAAAAGGATTTTTTTAAACGTATGAACCTAAGAAAAAGGTAATGTTATGTTTGACAAGTCAATCATTAAAGTCACTTTATTTGGTAAGATTGTCAGCAAATAAGCTCAAGTTAAATGGTTTCCAAGAGAGAAAAAAAAAATAAAAATAAGAGAGAGAAAAACAATACAGCAATGCAAAGACAAATTCTCATAGATGTTCCAAAGTGAAAGATCAATGAGGAAACGTCGACCTACCATCACACTCCTGAAGCCACGCCATGTCTCGGTTGTAAATCTCCTTCTCTGACAAGTGTTTCTCACCTGCTGAAATGACAATAAAATCCAGACTTATACCTGTTGCACAAACTACTGTGGACTTGGTAATTTTCCTGAGGTAATTAATTTTGCTATATCCACAGCAGATAAAGACAGCATGGACTTTTACACCCAACAAACATATCTACAAAGAAATAAAATCTTACAAGTGATCTGATACTTCTGTATACTTAGACACCAGTTTATAAATATGCATGAACTAGACTAAACTGGGACAACTGCGCAAAATTGGCTCCGCAAAATTAGACAACTATACCGTACATAGTTACCTAAAATAAATATATTTGTAACATGATAACATTTATAAAAAAAATTCTCTTACAATCATATGCTAAATATTTGTAACATCATCACTAAAACTGATGACCAGAGGCGTCAGTCACCCAAGAGACTTTTTTTTTCTCAGCACCTATCATATGGATTGATTTGTTTGATATCACTAGAGTAAAAAGATCTGCATTTACCAAATTCAAACAGCCCTTTTTGCCAAGTGTAATGTAAAATAACATATGTTTTCAACTTTCATTTCTGTCATCTAATTTTTCAACTTTTTATCTTCTATTCATTTTTTTAATGATCAATCATTAAAACAATTACTAAACCTGGTTTTAATCATTACTTACATCACGAGTTAGACCAATCTCTCCCAGGATTTCAGTTTTAAATGAAACCAAACCAATTAAAAAAATATATATCTTCCAATTATATTTAGATTACTGTAATTGATTGTCAAAATATAACCAATTATGATTTTCAAATCAGCTGAAATCTCCAAATTTGTTTTCAATTACTGAAACTATTCCATCAATGATACTCACATTCTTCCAAATTTTTTGCTCCGACATGTTCTGTCAGAACGGTACCATATGCTTGTAGCTTTTCTATTATTCTTAAGTAGAGTTCTGCATCCTGACGACCACCGCGGATACTGCCAGCAAAATAGATCTTCATCCTCAATCAGTCTGACAAATATAATAAGCTGATTGTAAGTGTGACGATAAATCAAAGAAATATTGTTGATGATCTTTATTACATGGTTGAGACTCAAGTTTTTAATTTTGTCCCATTTTGGGACTGGGGCCTGGGGCCCTTAGAATTAGGGAAAATAGCGGCGTTTTCCTTAGAATTTGGAAAACTTGGGGTCTAAATTGGGAATAAAGATACTATTTTGCATTGGGATATTCGGCCCCAAATCTGGCAGATTGAGAGCCATGCAATTTTTAAATATCATCTAAAAATAGGGCTGTGATTTAAATTTATTGGAAATGAAAATATCCATCCATCAGTCATATTATAACACATACAATTACACTAAGTAGTGTTTTCCCTGACTAATAAAATGCTGCATTATAACTTGTTAACTTGCAAGTTCTATCAATGATTTATATTGAAAATATTACTACTGGTGTGTTCACATCATAAAAATCTGACAAGTTAGCACTGAATATACATACACATATGTACAAGTTAGCACTGAATATACATACACATATGTACAAGTCAGTACTGAATATACATATACATATGTACAAATTAGCACTGGATACACATATGTACAAGTTAGCACTGGATACACATATGTACAACTTAGCACTGAATATGCATAAACATATGTACAAGTTAGTACTGAATATACATATACATATGTACAAGTTAGCACTGAATACACATATGTACAAGTTAGAACTGAATATACTTACACATATGTACAAGTTAGCACTGAATATACATACACATATGTACAAGTTAGCACTGAATATACATACACATATGTACAAGTTAGAAAAGAATATACATACACATATGTACAAATTAGCACTGAATATACATACACATATGTACAAGTTAGCACTGGATATACAAACATATGTACAAGTTAGAACTGAATATACATAAACATATGTACAAGTTAGCACTGAATATACATACACATATGTACAAATTAGCGCTGAATATACAAACACATATGTACAAGTTAGAACTGAATATACATATGTACAAGTTAGCACTGAATATACATACACATATGTACAAGTTAGCACTGGATATACAAACATATGTACAAGTTAGAACTGAATATACATAAACATATGTACAAGTTAGCACTGAATATACATACACATATGTACAAATTAGCGCTGAATATACAAACACATATGTACAAGTTAGAACTGAATATACATATGTACAAGTTAGCACTGAATATACATACACATATGTACAAATTAGCGCTGAATATATAAACACATATGTACAAGTTAGAACTGAATATACATAAACATATGTACAAGTTAGAACTGAATATACATACACATATGTACAAGTTAGAACTGAATATACATATGTACAAGTTAGCACTCAATATACATACTCATATGTACAAGTGAGAACTGAATACACATGTACAAGTTAGCACTGAATATACATACTCATATGTACAAATTAGTACTGAATATACATACACATATGTACATACACATATGTACAAGTTAGCACTGAATATACATATGTACAAGTTAGCACTGAATATACATACACATATGTACAAGTTAGAACTGAATACACATGTACAAGTTAGCACTGAATATACATACTCATATGTACAAATTAGTACTGAATATACATACACATATGTACAAGTTAGCACTGAATATACATATGTACAAGTTAGCACTGAATATACATACACATATGTACAAGTTAGAACTAAATACACATGTACAAGTTAGCACTGAATATACATACTCATATGTACAAATTAGTACTGAATATACATACACATATGTACAATTTAGCACTGAATATACATGCACATATGTACAAGTTAGCACTGAATATACATACACATATGTACAAGTTAGAACTGAATATGCATACAAGTAGGTACTGTGTATGTCATTTAGTTTCCAGGGTCACGTACATACACCTACATGTAGATCTGGTGTTAGCAAATTCATCTACCATTTTTAACTAGCGTGACAACCATTCTATTCAATAAAAACTTAACGTTGTGTCCTTCTATAAACGACCAGGCATTATTTACCTATTTATCTATTTATCTATTTTGTTACACATAACAAACATGTAGGTAGGCACATTGGATCCTTTAATTTCCCGCCATATTTTTTGTAAACACACCAGTGAACGAGGAAACTTTTATGGTGTTCCAATCCTGTTCACAGCTGTATATTGTCACCTAGTATTCAGACATAATATTTGTATATCAACTTCTTGAATAAACTACAAACACACACCACAAATAAATGAAAAAATAAGTACCTTTTTACGTTCTGATGTTTTCTGATAAGCTGTCCTACTTCTCTGTTCGGCAACATGTGTCGGTTGTCGGGATAACACTTGTACACTAGATCTGTACCCGTACCTACTTGTATAGTCTATTTTAGTGTTGAACTCACGGTAGGACATAATTTAAGCAATACATCAGTATGTCAATTTGTTTACTATTTGGTTCATTGCTTTAATGATTCTGAAATTAAATAGCTTTTATTATTTACAACTTTTCTCGTATTATTTAATTCCATGTTGGACATGGATTCAGTTCAAAGAATCAGAGACATACATAACATACGTCCCTGAAAGAATTAATACAAAAATATACTCGAATTCTAATTTGAATACATTTTATTTGAAACTGTTTTTCGCTAAATGAACTAGACGAAAAATAGAAGTGTGTAAATTGTTTTCCAATTACCCTACAAATCACTGTCTTGTTTGGTGGGGGCCTTAGCGTGGAGTGAATACTCCAAGCTCTCCCGTTGCACATGGTGACTCTCCACTGTGGCTACACGCCCCAGCCGCTTACGTCCGCGTGGAGACCATCCTGGTCCAGTTCTTTTTATTCCTTAGGTCTTACGGCCCGTGAGATACAACAAGAAAGGGATTCATCCATTGATATATTGGACTCTGTTACTTTTTTAGGTCTCGAAAAATATTTATAGAATTGCCTTGGATTATTTTTTTAATCAAATCTAACATACCACCTTCATTTAAACTGCATTTTAAACTGATTGCCAAGTTCTTTTTTAAAACCTTATTTTCTGTAAGATTTTAATGGTTCTCATCTGATGTAGAAATTTGTTTTCTATGTTTCAGGTTTTAATGAAGTGTAAGGCCTGACTCTGGACTTTTTGATTAATCTTGAATGATGTAAATTTCAGTTAATCTACTATATCCCTCCAATATGAAGAGAGAGAAAACACATTGATTTGACAAACAATAATTTACGTATGCTCTGCATAAGACATTAAATTAAGTATATCTAATTTTGAGGAAAACCTATCAATAATTCAGATGCATTGAAATCCGCCCTCGTATCACAATTACCAAACTTTACAAAGTAAACAGCTTCAGATAGGTATAATAACATTTTGTTTCCTAATTCCGATGATGATTATTCAGGTTTTGCATTTGGTACAGTTGTTGTACAGACCACACCAGTGACCAGCACCAGTGACCAGCACTGACCAGCACTGACCAGCACCACAGCACCAGTGACCAGCACCACAGCACCAGTGACCAGCACCAGCGACAGCACCAGTGACCAGCACCACAGCACTAGTGACAGCACCAGTGACCAGCACCACAGCACCAGTGACAGCACAAGTGACCAGCACTGTCCAGCACCACAGCACCAGTGACAGCACAAGTGACCAGCACTAGTGACAGCACCTGTGACCAGCACCAGTGACCAGCACCACAGCACCAGTGACAGCACCAGTGATCAGCACTGTCCAGCACCACAGCACGAGTGACCAGCACCACAGCACCAGTGACAGCACCAGTGGCCAGCACCACAGCACCAGTGACCAGCACCAGTGACAGCACCAGTGACAGCACCAGTGACCAGCACCACGGCACCAGTGACAGCACCAGTGGCCAGCACCACAGCACCAGTGACCAGCACCAGTGACAGCACCAGTGACAGCACCAGTGACCAGCACCACGGCACCAGTGACAGCACCAGTGACCAGCACCAGGTGTTTGTAAAGGTAAATATGTTATATAATGACTTGTATTATTATCTCATCTAGAGGTGACCGTTGAGATCAAAAAAACTATCGCGATAGTGTTGAAGTAGTAACATTAATATTGTGATGCTATCGCGATAGTGTTGCAGTAGTAACATTAATATTGTGATGCTATCGCGATAGTGTTGCAGTAGTAACATTATTATTGTGATACTATCGCGATAGTGTTGCAGTAGTAACATCAATATTGTGATGCTATCGCGATAGTGTTGCAGTAGTAACATTAATATTGTGATACTATCGCGATAGTGTTGAAGTAGTAACATTAATATTGTGATGCTATCGTGATAGTGTTGCAGTAGTAACATTAATATTGTGATGCTATCGCGATAGTGTTGCAGTAGTAACATTAATATTGTGATACTATCGCGATAGTGTTGCAGTAGTAACATTATTATTGTGATGCTATCGCGATAGTGTTGCAGTAGTAACATTGGTATTGTGATACTATCGCGATAGTGTTGCAGTAGTAACATGGATATTGTGATAATCGCGATAGTGTTGCAGTAGTAACATTAATATTGTGATGCTATCGCGATAGTGTTGCAGTAGTAACATCAATATTGTGATGCTATTGCGATAGTGTTGCAGTAGTAACATTAATATTGTGATACTATCGCGATAGTGTTGCAGTAGTAACATTAATATTGTGATGCTATCGCGATAGTGTTGCTTACTGTCAAATGTTTTACTGTATTCTATTTTCATATTATTCATTTTATACACAAACCTGCTATTCTGTGATATTTGTTGTGAAACTCGCACACTGCTGGACTCAAGACTGTTATTTTCATATAATCCTTAGTTTCACAATAAACTTAGTGTAATTACTTTGTAATTTAAAATTATTTTATGTTTTAAAATGTAATTAATTAATTGAACATATGATTGTTTTGTTTTGACAGAGAGTTTGACACACTTCATACATCGTTGACAGATCCGTGTCGGACATTATAGTGCAGTATAGGTGTAGCAAAGGTAGGATTAAATTAGTCATTTACCAAATCAACGCACCGCTTATTTCATAAACGAGAGTTTAATTGTGATCTTCACTTTACAAAGTTGCTGCCCTACCGCTGTTTTTATTGGGAAATATTTTTTAAATGCCGCTACTATAACACATAATTAAGATATAAACCGATGTAACCACTTGTGTTTAAATTCTTTTTCCATTCTAAGTCGGTAATTATGCCATTTTTGTATATTTAGCGCCACACTGATCAAGGTCCCAAAGACGTTTACAAAAGATCATGTAATCTTGTACATCGATATCTTACCTAGATGCCGCAAGTCCTATCCGCGACTGTTGACACGTCACAGGCGTCGCCGCGCGGCATCTATGATAAGATATCAATGACTGCAAGACCATAGATATCTAATCCTAGACGCCTGTGACGTGTCTAGCGATCCGCCATCTTGGGAAGGTATTGTATAAGCTGTCATAAACAGAAGTTTCACTGTTACTATCGTGTACAAATTGATGTTCTACAGAATGTGTGCCTTATCCGATTTACCTTTGTATGATAGCGCCTATTCATTTTGACTTGTAAACATATATATAGTTTTAAGTAGTAGATGTCATTGTAACAGGCAGTGTTTCAAGTAGTGATGAAAGCGGTTTTTGAAGTACTATCTTCAAGTATTTGAGCAGCTATACTTAGAGATGGTCATTCGCCTGATGTGTAAGGAGTAGTTTTTTATTTTGCTGTAACATGTTGTTGTGCACTGAGTTTTTTTTTATCTTCTTTTTGTTGGTGGGTTGGTTTATTGTTATAATTATCCTATACAAAATAACTGAGGAGTATTTTTATTCAATACTTTTTACATTTTAAGTATTTCCGTAATTTTGTCTTTAATTTTGATCCTCAATAACTGCACTTTGAGACGACTACAACAAAGAACCTTTTCTCAGCTTTAAAATGAAGTATTATTTGTGTTGATACGTGGGCTAGTGACCGAGCTACATTTTTCGTGGGATTTCTAGCATGAGGCCCACTGTGTAGCTATGGTTTGGCGCTAGCGGCAATATCTTCTCAAGATGGCGGCGCTGCAGACACGTTGTGTCAACAGTCGCGGATTCTGCCCGATCCTGTAAATCGTCTTTCGGTCTTGCGCGGCACAGTACGTTCTGCCAGAAAAATACAATAGTTTCGCCATTTTTGGTCAATTTGAAACTTAAATATTTGAATAATGGTGATTTAAAAACAAAATATTTACACTAAGAACAATTTAATGCCCAAATTCTACATATAAACCGCCCGATTCTGCCCGATCCTGTAAATCGTCTTTCGGTCTTGCGCGACCAAATCAGAAATGAGTGTTTTATATAATACGTCTTCATTTTTCCTTAAAAACGTTTCACAATGTGTAACATCAATGCAAAAGAAATTCACAAAAATCATTTAAACGGCACTATTCTAGTCCGATTCTGCCCGATTCTGCCCGATTTTGTAAATCGTCTAACCCTTGTGGCAAGATATCTATGTAGTCGTTTGGCAATAACTCTGTGAAAACTCTTGACTTTTCAACCTATTTTTTTGAGAGCAAATCTATCGCTACATATCGATAAATCGACCTGTTGTTACACCACTAACTTCACCTACTGAAAGGTGAAGGTAACTTGTGATGAAGCATCCAGGCCTATGTCTGTCTATACGGCGTCAAACTTTTCCTTTAAGTAATTTATTCACAATGACCAAGATCTACAAAATTGTTTACATGTATATGAAATGTTTAGCAAGCTTTGAGAAAGGGATAGCATGTTTTAGTTGAAATAATTTATAATCTTTTTGACTACAGAATTGTAATAATTGATCAGTGATATGATTCACCTGTAACGCACTTGACTTTAAGTTAACCTTTAATTTACTCTGTTAAATGTAGTTTGGAAGTTTGAACCGGATAATTTTTACTATTATTATGCAATATAAGGATTTGTTGTTAAATGCGTATCTAAAAATATTCCTAAAACTTAGTTTAACAAAACGAAATGTACGTTCATTATCAGCACCAACAGCAGGGCTAGCATCTACAGATGTACACCTTCAGCAGCAAGTAAAACATATATTATGTCAATATCATTCTAGATTAGAGGTCTCCCTTTACAAATTTTAAAATGAACCCTCAGCAAGTTTAAATAATCAAATGGAAGGAGAGTAAGGATAAATCCCTTTGTGAGCCCCATTCAACAGTCTACATTTTTAGTGAACTTTACATAGATCAACGATACCTCAATAAGTATCCCTATGGTCACTATTAGGTTTATAATTGTCTATTAAGCATTGAACATTACATTAAACAGCTGTTGAAAATAGAAGACAGAAAACTGAAATACTGAAATGGTAAAAATACAGAAAGATCAATTAGCAGTTGTAAACAAAACATCATGTCACTGCAGTATATCTGACGAATATGGACCATTTTATTTATCACCATCACTCTCCCCTTTTATCAAGTCTTAAACCATCAATTGACACATTTTATCTGATTTTCAAAGTAATCAATGTTGATTTTTCCCATATGCTAAATACATGGAATTTTACTTACATTTCATTACAAAGTTCTTTTAATTTTTATCAATGATTACTTATAGTAAAAGATACAACTGAAAACATCCTATTCATTAAATGAATATCGTATCAATTTAATTTCTCTTTAGAATGCAATATTTCCAGAACAACGTTGAAGTCTATACATAACGTAAGGTGTTCTTGTACATCTATTCCAATGAGATGAGTTAAGCAATGTGAACTTCTTGTTATTCTACACTGTAATTTTACCTTTATATAAAAATCCAATGAATCTGAAATATTTTTATTTGAAAATCTATCTTGGATAGGTCCACGTCTTTTCATGGTTCAATGATACAGATAGTACAGTAATGATATTCAGTGGTAAATAATAGAATAAATTCATCGACGAAAATAGATGTAATAGATTATGCAAGGCTTTCTTTTACATATCTTTATGCAAGCAATATGTAGACATGCATAATAAAATATATATTTACAACTGTTTTTGATATGATAAATTCTTAAAATTCAGCACATGTACTTTTAAACATTCGATTTTAGAGTCAACCTGGATTAAGGTAACGCCTTGTTGAAATTTACAGGTCCATTGTATGTAGTCTCATATTCATTAAACTCGTACCCCACAAAATAAATAGAGTTGTCATATGTTGTGCAGGATGAATCGCATGAACAATTCTGCAGCTCCTGTGTCGATGCCATTCGGTGCAGAATAATGTTGACATCTGAATATATTATATTAACCGTCACCCAATAACTGACTGATACCGTTCAATATTTAAATGTTACTTTTATAAATTTTCCTATTTAGCTCATTTTTGGGGAAAAAGCATACTTTTTGGTAGAATATTTCAAAAATGGTATTTTAATATAGTCTACTAATCATAAGCGTTGATTATTCGTACCTGATCATGATTTGCAAATCTTAAATCCCTTTCAACGACAATGCATGTTTTCTTGTGGGCTCTGCTTTATCTTCAATAAAACATATCTTAAAACTGTACAGATTTCCCATAAGAACAATTGACCAATTTGCTTACTAGGACAATATAATTGAATACACGCTTTTCCTTACTCTAAGCTCAAAGGTTTGAACATTAAGGATATAATTTTTATCAATAGTGGAGTTCAAACAGATCATCATATGTAAGACCTTAACTTATTTTCAAGGTCAGGAACTTAGATAATCATTTGACTGTCCAAAAGACTCAGAGTCTTCATATGTTGCCAGTGGGTTCCTAGGATTGCGTTTTATTTTTCAAGTATATAACTTTTACATATGTTCAAGATCACAAGGGCCAAATATATTATAAATATTTTTATTCTTCACTATTCAAAAGATCAAGGATCCCGATGATTTGCAGTTAAACTTATCTAGACATGACCTTCAGTTTACAAGGATGGTATTTCACAATCAGCCATGATTACTGAGGCTGATCAGTACTGGATGTACTTGTACATGCATTTAACTCGCGAGTGTCAGCAATACATGTGAATGTGTCATTCTAATGTTCATCGATACATTGGAAACAATCATTATTTCAAAAATTCAATACATGATAATTATCTTAACATTACCGGTATTGACTGAGTTATTACACTCGAGCTATACACATTCTCTGGACCTCTTCTTACATTACCTCTGCATGGGTATTAAGATTCATCCTACAACCAGCAGTGCCAATGTATAATGTAGCTGTATTCGACAGCGTACTTGTGGTAATTCAACAGAATTACTGTCTGAATTTACTTCAATATTACGTTTAGAAATATGAATAGTTGATGAAATAAGCGATTTTACATGTTGTAATGAACATTTTGATTTGTGAAAATTCATAAAATCACTGTTATATCCGATGAAGGTAAAATTTAGTGTAACTTTAACGTTAGGTAAACAACAAAACTGTTTAAGTTTAAACAGTTTGCTTTTCAATCAGTGTTGTAACATAAATAGATTACGTGGTCAGTGACTTAACGTATAAGCATTATTTTGTGTCTGGACAGAATTACAAAATACAGCTTATATTTCAAGACACTGCTGACCATGTATTCACTATGTAATTGTATTCAAAATCATAATGATAACATGTGCGTGTGTGTTCAATGCTATGCAATATAAATTAATCTAACTATATATACATATTACTTACTAAAAATAATTAATCATATAAGTAAAGAAGTATATAACGTAAATTGTTATTTTTTCTTCTTCATACAGGATAGGTAGCACCATCGTTAGCAAATACATATATATGTAATCAGGAAATTTGAATATAATTTATAAGTAGTGTTGTATAATATATGATACAAACAAAACATTGAGGCACTAGCATATTGCACGTTTCAAAGCTGGTGACACAGAATTATTACGGTAAGTGGTACATAAATCCTATAGATGTAATATTCACACACATACTATTGTATGGTTCACTTTAAGTCGTTGCTTGGCTCTAGTGAATCTAATCTTTTTGTATTTAAATGCTTTATTCAATTTCCTTGTGTATATTTTGTGCACTCTCGTGAAGAGAAAAGTTTTTCATTTGCCGCTCTGTTACGTCCTCTTCGCTTATAAATGGTATGACTCATACACAACTGATATTTTGTGACGTACAGTTATTCCGGGCATCAATACCAGTAAGAATACAAGTCAGAAAAAATAGGACTTGAGTAAGTAACCATAAATGAACAACAAAGGCATTATGTCAAAGTATAGAGGATCCGTGCCTATTATCGTGACGTAAAATGGCGCGGATTATCTTATTTGATGATTCTGATTAGCGTCATGGTAAGTACACATTCACGTAAAACCAGAAGCATTTGACAACATAAAGATAAATATTGACTTTACAAATTATAACATGACGTAGAAACGTTGTATTGACATTTGGGTAACTGAAGAGGCCACTAAAACAAAGGTAAACACTAGCAGACGTAGGTTTCCGGTAACGTAGGTGAAGGTCACAATGACGTCATGTAGCGTCTGTGACAGTAAGAGTACCAAAGGGGAGGTAAAGCGAGAATCCACCACTGAAGTGGCTATCTCGAAAAAATGAAAAATAACATGCCATAGTATAATAGCCATGATGCATGAAGTTTTATTACTGTTGATTTCCATAAATGCATATTGGAAGAATTTTGTTACTTCCACTGGTTAGAAGTGCAGTTTATATTACTAAATAAACAAATTTGCTTGCGAAGAGTGGCATCAACACAGGCATGCAGATAATACGGTTTACCTAAGTAATCTGGAGCTCGGAGCCTGTTAAAGTGTGCTGTGGAAACGGCACTTCCACACTTCTATTTATACATGGCTTTACATGATTTGGCAGCAGGACAAAGTAATCCACAGAATGCAATGGATTTAAGTTAATGGGGATAGCAGGGTAGTGTGGACGTGTGCTATTTTTCTAAAGTCCCTACCTGAGGAGATGATATCCCTAGAAACTGCCTTTTGGCGTCTTAGAATCAGTTAATCAACGATGTATTCTATGGGCTTGGGACGTGCATATATCATTCAACCACATGGTAGTTTTGTCTCTAGTTAACAGCAGGACTGCTGTCAGGAAGAATATTTGATGCTCAAATCAATATTAAAAATCTGAGAAAATGGTTCTGTCTTTCATGACCAGTTTGATATTTAATCGAGCTTGAAATTGAATAACAGTCAATTTACAATCTGTTGAGATGTGTGCTGTTTAACAGCTGTGATACGCATGTCACGTGACCATAACAATCAAATATACGATTCACATTTTATTTATTCATCCTGGACATAATTCAATACATTGTGGAACTATTCTGTAAGTATTATTTTGTTTTGTTCCGATGATGTTTCTGTAACATCGGCAGGGTTTTTCCTGGGATCCTCAAATTTGTATATTGCAAGGGTTCAGGGACTCGCATGATTTATGTAATTGAGTAAAACTTTATTCAATTTGTGGGTCCTTTGTCAATTAAAGAGACAGATTGAAGGTCTTTGAGAGTCGCGGAAAACCCTGGTGGGTCCTCATTCTGAAGACAACAGACTGGACGGTCCTTGCTGGCACTCATTCAGTACTAAGTATCAAGCAGAATATGTTATTGTGATTTATCTAGCTACAACTGTATATGCCGTTGGCTGGAGAAAACCCTTATCTTCATCTGTTCAAAGTAAATGTAAAAAGTAAGGTATTGTCAAGAAAGGCAATTTTAAAAGACAGCTTTAAGGATTCCAAACTTAGCTTATGTTACTATCTCGTCAGTGATTCTAAGGGTCAACATTGTTGCAATTTCAAGAATTGTAGAAGTAATGGCACTTCAGTGTAATAGCACTAAAATACTTTGTTCAATACAATATCGTGCGATTGTAACGACTGGTTTGCCCGTTGGCAGTGTAAGATAATCGACTGTGGTGTGTCGCTAGCTGCTATCGGCAATTTTCATAGTGCAATCACACTGAAATATCAAAATCTGAACAAAGTTGCTTGACAACTCGCATTTCACCGACGCTAAGTACCATTTTAATGCTAAATGAATTCGGTAAAAGAATTGGCAAAGTTGTGACTCTTGTAAATATATATATGAATATGTTGCATTAAACTACAATGTATATGTATATTTCTGAATTGTAAAATACTCTTTGTTTTGTTGTGTTTTCTCGCTTTCCAAATCACGATTACATACATGAACAAACAATCTCTTGATTTCTTATCACGATGTGTGTTTAATTTCAGAATATCAAGCCTTTAAAAGTGTCTAGAACAACTCTCACTATGGCTTTTTTGAAAATGGAAGATTACATAATCTTGGTGATAACCCTTGGTGTCACACTTTGTGTAGGATTGTACAATTCATTTAAAGGTGGGAGGCGCAAAACTACTACCGAATACTTAGTTGGAAGTAGAAATATGTCAGTACTACCGGTTGCATTGTCGTTGATGGTTTCATACGAATCTGGAATAATGATGTTAGGAGTTCCAGCAGAAGTTTATATATACGGAATGCAATGGTTTCTGTCAAATATTGGACACTTCTTTGCTGATCTGTTGAATCTGTACATATTTGTTCCGCCGCTGAAGAAGTTACAGATCACAAGCATCTACGAGGTAAGTGAACAACGTAAAGTCACCATAACCGGTATATCAAACTGTTGAAAATGAGTATGAATGAGAAAGTGTATAAAGCCACTCAGAGCCAACTTTAAGTTCCTTGAAATACTTCAGTGAAATGGTGTTAAGAAACTGGCCCTCTACAAGTACTTATACGCCACACTTTTTACCATGGTGTTGAGATTTCGTCCAAGAGGGTAACGACTATGGTATTTCAGTGTCATATTCTAAAAAGCGTAGGTCAGTTGTCCAACCATTCACGTGACAATTGCTGTTGCGAGGACGTAAATCTCTCACAGGATATAACGTTAACTTAAAAGACCCAAAATCATGATCAAAATTAATAAAACTTAGACAAATTATAAACAAAACACAGATATACCCGATCTTAGAACAACGTTTAATATAAGAAGGAGAATGCTTCATTGACGAAAATCGCTATGTAAATCTGGTCCAATCCAGGAAAAAGAAGTAAAGAAGAGCAAACCAGGCATAAGCAGAGAAACAGATTATTTCCTAAAGGTATATGATGGCGACAACAAACGTTTATAAACCTACAATTTTCAAGTTTATCTGTTAGTTGTCTACAAGATGTGATTATTCAAAAACATTTTCACTATGCCGTAGAATGTAGATGTCTTGACATCTGTTTGTGCGTTTTCGTCATCTCGTTTGTATGCGAGTTTTTTTTTTATATATATATTTTCCAATGTTATTGCCTTTTTGTATCTTTGTTTTATCCACAATTTATTACTAGCACTATTCATATTCGAAGTGTTGATAGATCGAATTGAATTTATTTATTCGATCACGTGAAATTTTGTTAAGTATGACCTATAGCCATGCTGTTTCGTCCATTGTAATGTGCCGTAACTTTTTACCAAGTCTTCTCCAGGTGGAATTCAGATGAAGCTTGCCATTATTGATCCTGAGTTGACATTGACCCCGTGTTATTTTTCGGGTCGGTCCGTTATCCAAGATGGTCGCCATCTTGAGTGAGAGAGAAATTTATATGTCTCTAGTTGTGCATAGTCCAATTGTGCAACTGATTCGAAAAACAGCATGGTCGTTAGACGATGATCTTAGATTTTGTCAGTTGTAGTTCGTTATCGCTATTTATAAGTACTGAATGGAACTTTAAAATTTCACATGTCATTTCCCTTGGTCCATAGTTTTGCATTGTACCCATTTTGGAACTGTTTCCATTTTAGATTATGATAATTAAATTTGCTATTGGTACTTCCTGAAAAGCACTGGATGCATTGGTTACAAATTCATATGTATGTTCCCCTTGTGCCGAAAGTGTAGTTTGACCTTTTTATATTTCGTGAATAATCAAAAGAAATATTGATGATCGGTGGCCATTTTGGTTTTGACAATGACAAAAGAAGATCAAACGATAGGATAACTTTTTTAAAAAGTTTTTGACGTGATTTTAGATATAATTTAGAAGTACTGATTATGTTCAGCGTGATCAAGTGAGAGCACTCTCTCAGGGTCTTATGTTACGATAATATATAGGTAGGTTTCACTTTGGGCAGTCACTGTTGAAATGATGACGAGTTTGACGGATTGCATACCATTTTTACCCTGGGAACTTCGCACTTTCCAAGCAAGGCTTTGACTTCATCATCTGTTACTTGCTTAGATACCAAGGCTGGAAGATAGCATTATCAGTGGGAGCATTTAGAGCAGGGAAACTTTGCGGTTTTTCTCTCAACATGCATTGTCATTTTAAAAGAAAATAAGTTGGAAAAGTGATAGGTTTCGCCCACTTGAAAAGTTCAACGTCGCATCCAAGGCGGCCATTTTGTCTCATGATTGCACAATCATTTTTCTCTTGAACCACATCTATTTTAAACTTTTTTCTTACTCCACCAATAGTGTTAAGCTCAGATACTGATTGTATTGTTCAGGTCGGTGTTCGGTCAAACAAGGCCACCATCTTGAACCAGAAAAAAAATTGAAATGAACTTCTTCAGTCAACTGTTTTTTTGTTTGCTTAAACATTCCGAGCTTTTTTAATCATTTAATAACTGTAAATATTATAAATCTTTTTACACCATATATTGGTCTTTATAGCCAAATGGATGTTAATGCCCAGGTGTCTCTTGTAATAAAGTAAACAAATTAATTTCCAGTGTTGTATTTCAGTATCTGGAGCTACGGTATAGATCACATGGTATCCGGATGTTTGCAACAGTTCTTGGAATATGTTCAATGGTATGTATGATCATCTTCTACACTGTTAACAATCTATAAATAATATTCCAATGTTTGAAAAAATCCAGATGCTTTTGAAAACACAAATTATTTTGCCACGGCTTCATGAGAGAGAGAGAGAGAGAGAGAGAGAGAGAGAGAGAGAGAGAGAGAGAGAGAGAGAGAGAGAGAGAGAGCTTGATACTATATAAATGTTGAGTTAACCACTTCTCGCTACTGATTTCAATTAGACATTTCTTTAAACTGGCATTGACATGCTCTGAAATGATATTTCATCGTTTCAATTCTTGCAACAAATATCGATTTTCAATAGTTTTTATCTTTTCTTTATATCAAAATAGCTAAACTACATGGGTAGCGTGCTGTTTGTACCAGCTGTCACCCTCAAAGCTGGTAAGGTCTTACATCTAATTTCAAAAATATCATGACAGATCTAAAATCCGATATTGAATATATTGTCGCTCTGACTTTCAATAGATCAAAATGACAACAATCATATGAATAACGTTATAAATATATTTTGATAGATGTACTTTCTTGTCAATGGATGATGTCTCTTTCCTCATTCATGATAATCATTCCTATATTGGTGTAAATATTGTTAAATTAGTAATATAAAGATATTGATCTTACCTGAAAATAACTCTGAATCGGAAAATGAATATTTTGTTTATTAGAGAGCACTGTTGATTATTCAGGTGATTTGTCCTTTCCACAGTTACAAATATTCCGATGTGGATGTCGATAGTCGGGCTGATGGCTGTTGTTATGATTTATACATTACTGGTAAGTCTTGTTTCTACTTTGTTACATGTCGGCTTCATACAGTAACTCCTGTATCCTCATAGAACACTTATCTCTGTTTATTGACATACAACAACACATCGGACTGGTTAATGATGTTACCTTGCAACAAAATATAGGGATATTATATGCCCTCAACAAATAATGCCCTCTTCAAATATCTCTTCTACATATCCAAATGACATCATCGACCCAGATGCAACTTCATGAACATTACAAATGATTAAACTGTGACCCTGAAATGACAAGGAAAATTATCTGTACTTAAATGGTACTGGGGCCACAAAAGCTTGTGCAAAGAAACCTAGATTTTAGAAATAATGCACATATGTTTTATTTGCTATAAATTCATTTCTAACGAAACAGAAAGCACACATCTGAAATATCGTATTTAGCAGTTTTATTGCCTTAGTAAGCAATGCATAATAAAGAATTCCTAACTCTGCACGGAGTTTATGTGGTATACGATGCAGTGGGATTGCACTTCATCAATCTTCATGTTTCATTTGGTTGTCAATATTTTCAGACATTAGAGTTTTAAGAAGGTATCGTATATATTCCACATTTAAGAATTTATTTATAAAGTTTGTCTCGTGTTATTTTAAGGAGATTTCAGATATGTTCAAGAACAACAAAGAAACTACCTAAATATGAAAACAATCTCTCTGAAGTACATTCCATTGACGTTATCACAAAGATGTTAAATTTGTGATATACATTTCTGATGTAATAATGGAGGTGTGTCAAATTTGTCTAATCTATTTATAGGGTGGGTTTAAAGCTGTGGTGTGGACGGATGTTGTCCAGGCGGGACTTATGATAGGCGGAATGTTAGCCGTAGTTATCAAGGTAAGGCCTTGTTCTGTATCGGGCCAGAAATGTCGAGATAAATAACTTAAATATTAATGTTTTCATTTAACATTTCTCAAAAATAATAATATTGAATTAATAAAAATAAAATAGAATAAAAAAGAGAATCTGCTTTACGCTGTTTTTTTAATGTTTAACAGGGAACGATAGAATCTGGAGGATTCGTGCAAACATGGAACTCGGTCTACCAGAACGGGCGGGTTAACCTGTTTGAGTAAGTGATAAGTGATATTTACTGAATGTTTTAAAACATTTAAATTCATATATTTCATCTTGGAATAAAATCGTTCCTCACTGAAAAGATATGGTCACGTGGAGAATATATAACTATAGTAGACATCACGACGTTGTATATGGCAATATGGTCGACGACGTCAGTATGGAATGCGTAACATTTACGCGTATATGTGGAAGAGCTACTTCCTTAAGGAGTAAAAAATATGAAGTAATTTCTTCAGCTCCATTGTTCTATATCGTGTTCTTATTTGCGAACATGACGTCACCTACTTCGGATTAGCCAATATTTGCATGGCGGTTGTCGTCAATGAAGCAGAAAACACGTTTACCTGTCCAGAACACATGGCCTTATTCTCCGTGTAATTTTTCACGAGTCTCTGTGTAAATCTTTCTGTTTTCTCATATTTGGCATACGGTCATTGAACAAAGAAAATAATTAAATGTCAACAGTCTTAATCAAAACATGAATCCGATGATAGAAATCTCCGATACAAGTCTAGAACCAGTCGATTACATAAATGGTCCCGTACCAATTTATCTCAAACCCATAAAAATATTTTATTAAATATATATACACGTGTCTTGGTTTTTTAGATTTGATCCCGATCCTACTCTACGGCAGTCGTTTTGGAGTTTGATATTTGGAAGTGCTATGGTAGAGTTTGGCTTACCTTTCGCACAGACAACTTTTCAACGCATCAAAGCGACCCCTACAATAAGATCAGCACAGAGGTAAATGATCAATAGAGTGGTCAAATTTACTCCAAGGGAAAACATTCACGCGGGAAAAATATCAACAATTATTTTATGATGCTACACTTGATAGGGAAACGTATAGGTCAATGTTGCCTGGTTAATTTGGTTAAGGACCTCGGATAAATGAATCCAACATACAATAGACACTATTACCTCATCATACAACAATACAATAGACACTATTACCTCATCATACAACGATACAATAGACACTATTACCTCAGCATACAGCAATACAATAGACACTATTACCTCATCATACAGCAATACAATAGACACTATTACCTCATCATACAACGATACAATAGACACTATTACCTCAGCATACAGCAATACAATAGACACTATTACCTGATCATACAGCAATACAATAGACACTATTACCTCATCATATAACGATACAATAGACACTATTACCTCATCATACAGCAATACAATAGACACTATTACCTCATCATACAACAATACAATAGACACTATTACCTCATCATACAACAATACAATAGACACTATTACCTCATCATACACCAATACAATAGACACTATTACCTCATCATACAGCAATACAATAGACACTATTACCTCATCATACAGCAATACAATAGACACTATTACCTCATCATACAACAATACAATAGACACTATTACCTCATCATACAACAATACAATAGACACTATTACCTCATCATACAACAATACAATAGACACTATTACATCATCATACATCAATACAATAGACACTATTACCTCATCATACAACGATACAATAGACACTATTACCTCATCATACAGCAATACAATAGACACTATTACCTCATCATACAGCAATACAATAGACACTATGAACTCATCATACAACGATACAATAGACACTATTACCTCATCATACAGCAATACAATATACACTATTACCTCAGCATACAGCAATACAATAGACACTATTACCTCATCATACAGCAATACAATAGACACTATTAACTCATCATACAACAATACAATAGACTATACAAACAATACAATAGACACTATTACCTCATCATACAGCAATACAATAGACACTATTACCTCATCATACAGCAATACAATAGACACTATTACCTCATCATACAACAATACAATAGACACTATTTACTCATCATACAACAATACAATAGACACTATTACCTCATCATACAACAATACAATAGACACTATTACCTCATCATACAGCAATACAATAGATACTATTACCTCATCATACAACAATACAATAGACACTATTACCACATCATATAACGATACAATAGACACTATTAACTCATCATACAACGATACAATAGACACTATTACCTCATCATACAACAATACAATAGACACTATTAACTCATCATACAACAATACAATAGACACTATTACCTCATCATACAACGATACAATAGACACTATTACCTCATCATACAGCAATACAATAGACACTATTACCTCATCATACAACAATACAATAGACACTATTAACTCATCATACAACGATACAATAGATACTATTACCTCATCATACAACAATACAATAGACACTATTACCTGATCCTATAACGATACAATTGACACTATTACCTCAGCATACAGCAATACAATAGACACTATTACCTCATCATACAACAATACAATAGACACTATTACCTCATCATACAACAATACAATAGACACTATTACCTCATCATACAACGATACAATAGACACTATTACCTCATCATACAGCAATACAATAGACACTATTACCTCATCATACAGCAATACAATAGACACTATTACCTCATCATACAACGATACAATAGACACTACTACCTCATCATACAACAATACAATAAACACTATTACCTCAGCATCCAGCAATACAATAAACACTATTACCTCAGCATACAGCAATACAATAGACACTATTACCTCATCATACAGCAATACAATAGACACTATTACCTCATCATACAGCAATACAATAGACACTATTACCTCATCATACAACGATACAATAGACACTATTACCTCATCATACCGCAATACAATAGACACTATTACCTCATCATACAGCAATACAATAGTCACTATTACCTCATCATACAACGATACAATAGACAACATTACCTCAGCATACAGCAATACAATAGACACTATTACCTCAGCATACAGAAATACAATAGACACTATTATCTCATCATACAACCATACAATAGTCACTATAACCTCAACCAATACAATCATCAATAGACACTATTACCTCATCACAATACAATAGACACTATTACCTCATCATACAACAATACAATAGACACTATTAACTCATCATACAACAATACAATAGACACTATTACCTCATCATACAACAATACAATAGACACTATTAACTCATCATACAACAATACAATAGACAATATTACCTCATCATATAACGATACAATAGACACTATTAACTCATCATAAAACGATACAATAGACACTATTACCTCATCATACAGCAATACAATAGACACTATTACCTCATCATACAACAATACAATAGACACTATTACCTCATCATACAACAATACAATAGACACTATTACCTCATCATACAGAAATACAATAGACACTATTACCTCATCATAAAACGATACAATAGACACTATTACCTCATCATACAGCAATACAATAGACACTATTACCTCATCATACAACAATACAATAGACACTATTAACTCATCATACAACAATACAATAGACACTATTACCTCATCATACAACAATACAATAGACACTATTACCTCATCATACAACAATACAATAGACACTATTACCTCATCATACAGCAATACAATAGACACTATTAACTCATCATACAACAATACAATACACACTATTACCTCATCATACAACGATACAATAGACACTATTACCTCATCCTATAACGATACAATAGACACTATTACCTCAGCATACAGCAATACAATAGACACTATTACCTCATCATACAGCAATACAATAGACACTATTACCTCATCATACAACGATACAATAGACACTATTACAATACAGCAGTACAAAAGACACTATTACCTCATCATACAACAATACAATAGACACTATTACCTCATCATACAGCAATACAATAGACTATTACCTCATCATACAATACAATCATCATACAGCAATACAATAGACACTATTACCTCATCATACAACGATACAATAGACACTATTACCTCATCATACCGCAATACAATAGACACTATTACCTCATCCTAAAACGATACAATAGTCACTATAACCTCAACATACAGCAATACAATAGATACAATTACCTCATCATACAGCAATACAATAGACACTATTACCTCATCATACAGAAATACAATAGACACTATTACCTCATCATACAACGATACAATAGACACTATTACCTCATCATACAGCAATACAATAGACACTATTACCTCATCATACAACAATACAATAGACACTATTAACTGATCCTACAGCAATACAATAGACACTATTACCTCATCATATAACGATACAATAGACACTATTAACTCATCATACAACGATACAATAGACACTATTACCTCATCATACAACAATACAATAGACACTATTACCTCATCATACAACAATACAATAGACACTGTTAACTCATCATACAACAATACAATAGACACTATTACCTCATCATACAACAATACAATAGACACTATTAACTCATCATACAACAATACAATAGACACTATTAACTCATCATACAACAATACAATAGACACTACTACCTCATCATACAACGATACAATAGACACTATTAACTCATCATACAACGATACAATAGACACTATTACCTCATCATACAACAATACAATAGACACTATTACCTCATCATACAGCAATACAATAGACACTATTAAGTCATCATACAATAATACAATAGACACTATTACCTCATCATACAGCAATACAATAGACACTATTACCTCATCATACAGCAATACAATAGACACTATTACCTCATCATACAACGATACAATAGACACTATTACCTCATCATACAGCAATACAATAGACACTATTACCTCATCATACAACAATACAATAGACACTATTAACTCATCATACAACAATACAATAGACACTATTACCTCATCATACAACAATACAATAGACACTATTTACTCATCATACAACAATACAATAGACACTATTAACTCATCATACAACAATACAATAGACACTATTAACTCATCATACAACAATACAATAGACACTATTACCTCATCATACATCAATACAATAGACACTATTACCTCATCATACAGCAATACAATAGACACTATTACCTCAGCATACAGCAATACAATAAACACTATTATCTCATCATACAACGATACAATAGACACTATTAACTCATCATACAGCAATACAATAGACACTATTACCTCATCATACAACGATACAATAGACACTATTACCTCATCATACAACAATACAATAGACACTATTACCTCATCATATAACGATACAATAGACACTATTACCTCATCATACAGCAATACAATAGACACTATTAACTCATCATATAACGATACAATAGACACTATTAACTCATCATAAAACGATACAATAGTCACTATTACCTCATCATACAACAATACAATAGACACTATTACCTCATCATATAACGATACAATAGACACTATTACTTCATCAGACAGCAATACAATAGATATAATTACCTCATCATACAGCAATACAATAGTCACTATTAATCAATCATAGACACTATCATACAACCATACAATAGACACTATTACCTCATCATACAACAATACAATCGACACTATTACCTCATCATACAGCAATACAATAGACACTATTACCTCATCATACAACGATACAATAGACACTATTACCTCATCATACAGCAATACAATAGACACTATTACCTCATCATACAGCAATACAATAGACACTATTAC